ATGGACAGGGTGTATTGTGTCATTTTGTCAATTTCTTGTTAGAATTTACAAGTAGCCAAACAAAAATTGGGTCAGTGATCTTGTTTTCAATTTATTTATGTATTAGATAGATTTAAAAACAAGCATTTTTAAATAAAATACATGTAATTTGATTACTTCTACATTGATTTCAGTGACACTGCCTGATAGTAGTAAAGCTTCTGCATATGAAGAGTTCAAGTATAGCCCTATACCAGAACCTGGAGAGTGCACTGTTACGCCTGCAGATGGGGGTTATACCTTGACGACAAACTTTAATATTACATGCATTGACTTTACTGTGCAAGGAAATTACAATTTTCAATATTTAATGAAATCTAAAACCATTAATGAATGGCGAAAAGGTAAGTAATTGTTAGATGAAAAGTCAACATGTAAATCTTTGTTCATGACATTGATTGGTTTGGTTTGTCTCTGATACAAATGACTTTTATGTGGAGAGACTGGGTAAATGTATAATTCCAAGCAAAGATATTTCTAGTTAACTGCTGTTCAGTTTATGACTTAACATTGATGCTTACTCCAAACAAATAAACCAAGTAAATTAAGATTTTATTATGATGTATATTATACATTATATTATACCTTTGCTTGTGTTGATGAAACTTGGAATAAATTACTTACTCTCTTGAAGACGTCTAGAGATACAACTGATTTCTTTTATTCAAAAGGCACCAAAAGTACCAATCTAGGCAGTATGATGCAGAATAACATTTTCATGCTCTAACTATAATAATGGCAAGAGGGCAGGCATATAGTGTGTAACACCTATCATCCATGCATGTGTCTGAAAGCCTTGTCTGCAATAACTGTCATGGGTTTTGAAACATTTTGGCACAAATGGTAAACATGATGAGACATTGCCATTTTGTTATGCGTGAAGCCTAGACCATAGCTCCAAGGTCAGGAACTCATTTAGAGGGTTAAAGGTCAGCAGTTAGAAAATCTTGTCTTGCCCACAACTCCATCATGCATCATGGGAAAAAAATTGGCACAAATGTTAAGCATGATGAGATGATGTCATGTGCAAGACATATACCCCTAGCTCCAAGGTCAAGTTCACACATAAGACCAGCAGAAAATCTAGTGTGGTCCATAAGTATGTCATGCATTAAGGGATTTTGAAACAATATGGCACAAATGTTAAGAATAAATGGATGATGTGTCATGCACAAGACCAAACCTCAAGTTCCAAGGTCAAGGTCACATTAAGAGGTTAAAAGTCAGCAGTAAGAAAATATTGGCTGGCCTATAACTCTGTCATGCATCAAGGGATTTTGAAGTTAGTTTCCCAATGTTATAAGCATAATGAGATGGTTTGCGCCATGCACAGGACCTAGGTCCCTCTCTCTAAGGTCAAGGTCACGCATGGAGGTCAAAGATAAAATCTTGATGTTTGGAGCTCCTCAGTTCTAAAATTTTAAACAGGACAGGATTTGTATATTTTAAGAGTCAAATTTAACTATTTTACTGACTTGTCTTTTTATGTTCAATGTAGGATCAAAGTTCTACATAGGACAAAATAATACAGTGAGAAATGTGAAGTTGCGATTAGGAGATCCAGAACAGGAATACAGATTGTATATATTGGTGCGAGCCAGACTAATAGAGTCGGGGGCATACACAGTCAAATCACAGATTATCCAGGTAGCAATCTCTTGTTTATAAGTGCAAATGAAGAAATAAATTCCATTCAAAACACTGACTTTCAGGACAATTTTGAATGGTTTTGTAATAAAGATATTTAGGCACTTAACTGAGGTATAAAAAAACCTGGGTATATCACTTTGAATAGATTCATCACATTGATTTATATCTTTCCATTGTAACAGGTTGTTCTTTAGGAAACTATTCATGAATTATTTTGTAGAGTTGGGAACTAAAGTTCTTAATTTAAAATTTGTATAGAGCAAGCTATTATTGAGACCTTGCTTGGGATTACTTTTTGGCATCTAGGGTCATTGTAACTATAACTAAAAATAGAAAAATGGTTTCAAGTTTGAAAAATCTGGTTTCATAGCATTGCCATGATTCTTGACTTTTATCAGGTCCCGTTTGAAAATTTTTAATGAAACTTAATAGAAATGCTTACCACTATGAGAAGCTGTGTCGTGCGCATGCACCAGGTCTCCAGATCAAAAGTCAAGGTCTCACTTAGAGGTCATTGGAAATCGCTTGTTCAGAACAAAACTTCTACATGCATAGAGAGATTTCAATATAACTTGGCACAAATGTTCACTATTGTCAGACAGTGTCATGTACAAAATTCAGGTCCCTGCTGCCAAGGTCAAGGTCACACAAAGGTATCGGAGTTCAGATGAAGATATGAAAATGTGTATTTGGACCATTTAGTTTATTTATTGAGGGATTGAAACACAAATGGTCATTGACATGACTACAGGTGTGAAACATGTAATTTTGGTTAATATATGCAAGGTCAAGGTCACTAAAGATGATAAAATATAGATATTTTGTCAAGAATATATCTCCTACATGCATGATGGGATTCTAATGAAACTTTATAGTAATGTTCACCACTATGAGAAGCATTGTCACATGTATGAACCAGGTCTTTAGATTAAAGGTTAAGGTCACACTTATAAGTGAATGAAAAATGCCTGTTTGGAGAAAAACATCTACATTCATCTGGGGATTTGAATGTATCTTGGCACAAATGTTCAACATTTTGAGACCAAGTATTGTGCACTTATTTAGTTCCTTGCTACCAAAGTCAAGGTCACATAAAAAAGTCAAAGTTAATATAAAACAAAAGATGTGTACAGGGACCCTTTTTTTCATCATTTATTATGCTCCACGAAAAATTTCGAGGGGAGCATATAGTTGTCGGGTTGTCTGTCGGTCCGTCAGTCCGAGCGCATGAGAGGGTAGTTGTTATGTACTAAATGGTACTAAATACCCAACAATTACCAATCCTGCTTACTCCGTATGTATTGTTGGGTATTTTCATTGATTGTTGGGTACTTTTTTTACACAGTAAAATACACAACAAGAATACAAATGTAAGAACGTCTGTTTCCGTCCGTATGTACATACTTTCCGAATTCATGTCCGGCCCATAACTTCCTTATTTGAAGTCGGATTTTACAACTATTTCACAGGAATGATAACCATAATATTGAGACAATGTGTCAAGTGCAACATTTGGGTCGCTACCTTGAAGGTCAAGGTCATAGCATGACCTTGCAGCAAAATGGTGTCCGGCCCATAACTTCGTTATTTGAAGTCGGATCTTACAACTATTTCACATAAATGATCACCATATTGAGACAATGTGTCGCGCACAACATTTGATTCCCTACCTTGAAGATCAAGGTCACAGCATGACCTTGCAGCAAAATCATGTCTTACCCATAACTTCTTTATTTTAAGTTGGATTTTACAACTGTTGAACTATTTCACAGAAATAGTCACCATATTGAGACGATGTGTCGCGTGCAACATTTGGGTCGCTACCTTGAAGGTCAAGGTCACAGCTTGACCTTGAAGCAAAATCGTGTCAGGCCCATAACTTCCTTATTTGAAGTCGGATTTTACAACTACTTCACAGAAATAATCACATTATTGAGACAACGTGTAAAGCACAACATTTGGGTTGCTACCTTGAAGGTCAATGTCACTGCATGACCTTGCAGCAAAATTGTGTCCGGCCCACAACTTCCTTATTTGATGTCAGATTTTACAACTATTTCACAGAAATGATCACCATATTGAGATGACGTGTCGCACGCAGCATTTGGGTCGCTACCTTGAAGGTCAAGGTCACAGCATGACCTTGCAGCAAAATCGTGTCCTGCCAATAATTTCGTTATTAGAAGTTGGAATTTACAACTATTTCACAGAAATGATCACCATATTGAGACCAAGTGTCGCACGCAACATTTGGGTTGTTTTTACACTTTGAATTTTGTCTATGACATAACTCTGACACTACAAGAGGTATACCTTCCTGTGTCCAAAACCTATTCGGGGAGCAACACAGGGTTAAACCGGCTCTTGTGATGGAATATAACACAAATGATAACTATCATGACGAAGTGTGACACATGTAATTTAGGTTAATATATTAAGGTGAAGGTCACTAGAGACGATAAAATTTCCAGATATTGTCAGGATATTACCTATCTCCTAAATGCATATCTATAATGCCCTGTGACATCTCTGTCAAAAGCTTTTATGACGAGCGTATTTTGTGACAATGTTGCCATTGTTTAATGTTTAGTCTGGCAGGTCTAGGAACACTAAATTATTCTCTACATTCACAACATCTGCAACATATGGGTGAGATACAGTTTTTCTTTACCCACTATGACCTTGAAATGTTTTATAAATATATATCCAATTTTGAAAAAAAAAAATGTTCTGAAGTCAGAGAAATGGATGAATAATGACTAAACAGTATGCTTAGTGTTATGAGGTGTTTAAAAATAGTAGACCAATGACATTAGTGTGTGTGTATATCAGATGTTTACAATACTTTAAGGTTGAACCAGCAGACAGAGACCCAAATGGTAATCTTTTAGAGACTGCTAAATCCGTACTGGTTTCATCAGGTGATTCTCAGTCTTCTGTCATAGATGACATGATAGCAGCAGGAAATCAGGAAGGTCTCTATAATTTCTATTCTGGTGTTGCTTTGCAGTTTAGCCAAAACCATCTTTCCTGTTTTTGCACCATATTAAGTTTAGGGGGTATTTAGGAGTGACCCAGTGGTGGTGGGTTGATCAGTGGGTCCAGCAGTCTATTGCATTTTCCTTGTCCAGAGCATAACTTGAAGACTAATGGTTGGAATTCATTACGGCTTCATACAATGGTCAAGCACATTGAGGGGAAGTGCAGTGCACAAGAACCATAAATTCATATTGACTAATTACGGAGTTATTGCCCTTTGTTACTTTTCCTTCTTTGGAGCATACTGAAAACCACTGACTGGAATTAAATACAAGTTCATACAACCGTCAAGCACAATAAGAGGAAGTGAATGCACAAGAACCATACCTCTATCAAAAGTTATTACAGAGTTATTGCCATTTGTTACTTTTCCATTGCTTTTTTTCTTGTCTGGAGTATAACTTAAAAACCACTAGTTGTAATTCAATATAACTTTATACAATGGTCAAGCACATTGAGAGAAAGTGTAGTGCACAAGAACCATAACTCCGTTTTTGACTAATTACAGAGTTATTGCCCTTTGATACTTTTCTTTGTCCAGAGCATTCCTTGAAAAGTACTGTTTGAAATTTAAAACAACTTCTTACAATGGTCAAGCACAATAAGAGGAAGTGCAGTGCACAAAAACCATAACTCTGTCTAAAGTAATTATAGAGTTATTGCCCTTTGTTACTTTTCCATTGCATTTTCCTTGTCTGGAGCATAACTTGAAAACCCACAAGTTGAAATTCTATATAACTTTATGCAATGGTCATGCACATTGAGAGAAAGTGCAGTGCACAAGAACAATAACTTCATCTTGACTTATCACAGAGTTATTGCCCTTCATTACTTTTTTGTCCAGTGCTTGACTTAAAACTAATGGTTGGAATTCAATGCAACTTCACATTATGTGTATAATCATAGATAGCTTAAATCCAGAGCACATGAGTGCAAGTGCCATTTTTTATTTATTAAGTTCTTAATAAATTTCTTATATGAATAAATGTTTGCTATCTGTTTAAATTTGTTTGTTTCTGTAATAATTTTTGATGAAAAGCAAAAAAATGGTTGTTTTGTTTTTCATTTTCAGAGGCTGTTCAAAACTTGAATGTCATCGCTTCAGCTCTAAACCCAGTAAATGGCACTGAAGTGAATGACACTGTAAAGGCAGAGAAAACTGCGGTACATATTAAGGGACTATCCATTATTGTTTTAATTGAAACAAATGAGTTTTGTCAGTGTGGCATAAACCCTATGTTACAGACAATCATATATTAGGTGCTAGATAATTTTATCTGTTGTCAAGGCCTTTTTAACAGATTGTGGAATATGCTCTGGGAAAAATGCTCTTTTTTAAATTTATTGGAAAATGCTCTACCTTTAAATTTTGCTTAAAAAATCCACTATTTTTGCTGAAAGGGATGAAAAAACCCTTAGTGTGAATTGAAATTCAGTAGTATAGTGCATGAGTTTAAGCATTATTGAAGGGCTCCTGCTAGAGAAGGATAAAAAACTGGTTGTAAATCTTCTCAATCTAATTTACTGTAAAATCCCAATTTATTGCCCCCACCCTAATTAATGCCCCCCACCCACTTTTGAAACTTTTTTTTACCTTGTATATAATTTAAACAAAGAAAATAAAGAAACTCTCATACTAGTTCGGCAATTTATGGTATGTCAAATATCATTCAATTTATGAAAAATATCTGTGAATCAAAACTTAAAACAGTTTAAAGTTCACTAAAACAGAGTGTAGTCTGCTTGAAAACACAAAACGGTAAACATATTTACAGTACACACAATCGATATAGCTATGCACCTGTACAACTACACAGATCTCAAAGTGGGCCTGTTGACACACATTGTAAATTAGGAAAGTAGCATCGATTACGTCAGATTGTCGGCAAGATCAAAAGTGTCAACAGGGTGATGATGTGTTTGTGGATTTTTTTACATCGGTTAAAGAAAGATTTTTTTTTTCCAAGATTTTTTTTTTTTTTGAGATTTTTTTTATTTTTATTAAACGCCCCCTTTTGAAAAATGTTACGCCCCAGGGGCGTTAAATTGAGATTTTACGGTAAAAGATAAAATATAAAGACTGAATTTTCTGTTAACAGCCGGTTAAAGGAGCACTGTGATTAAGTAACGTCTCACTTTGATTATTTCTTTCGACATCAGTGTTATTCTCTGCGATCTATTTAACTGTCATTAATTTTTACTGCTGAAATATTAAGAACCTGTGCTGTAAAAATACAGTCACACCTGTGTTAAAGACCATCTCCGAATAAAGATCACCCTGTAAATAAAGGCTACTTCATGACAATCATTCATTGATTAAAATGACCTCCAAATAGTCAACTTGTCTACACAGGCCATGTTCAGTCTCTCTCTTGTATGACTTTTGTTCACAGGTTTGACTGTATATGATCAAAATTCTTATTAGCAATACATGTATAAGGTTATCACAGCCAAATGTTGTCCTTTTTTCTATTTCAGATAAGGACATCAGTTGTGACAAGTTTAAAGAAAGTAAATGTTAGCAGTATTGATACATTGTCATCTGTTGCTGAAACTTTGACACAGGTTACAAAAGTGGAATCTGAACTCACTGAAAGTACACAGGTTAGTTACCACGATGATTGCTGTTGTTGTTGTAGGTCAAACTTTTATTTTTAGCTTGTCTGTTTTGAAGAAAAAGTGAAGCTATTTTGATTGCTGTGTTGCCGTCAGTGTGGTTTTAATGCAAAAAACTTTATTGTATTCAAACATTTTAAAAGTATATATCAACATGAAGCTTGGAATTCTTGCTTATCTTGTCAAGGTGCAGTTGTTAGATAAGGGGTATTATTGTGAAAGCTATATTTTTGAGTTATTCCCCTTTTTAACTTAGATTTTTTGTCAAAAGTGGTAAGTTTAACAGACGAGTGTTTATTCTCATGTTTTCAAGGTTAATTGTGGAAATTGTTCTACATTTTAATGTGATCACTTTTTATTAAAAAATTTGTTTATTATGTCTTTTGCCAAAGATGTAAGAAAAATCATGTTTTTTATATGTATGTTACTAGTTAAGGCAAAGCAGTGACGTTTACCATTATGAATTGATTTTAGTATAACTTAACTGAGGTTCAAACATATGAACCAGAGGTACATGTATATACACTACATATCTGTTTTGAAAGTATGCAATTATCAAGAAATTAGATAAATATATCAGTACTTTTAATCGAATAAAACAGTGATTTTTTACTGTATTTTACAGCCGAACAAAGGCTGTTTCCCCTAGCCCAAAATAGGTATATTTTCCCCTTAAAATGCTAATATTTTCTCTTAAAATGCCTCGTGCTCTTTCTAACCAGAACCATTACTAAACAGCATCTGAGCTAGAAAACAGAAATCTGTCCCTGTAGATAGCTATGTACCATGCATGTTAAATTGAACTGAAATTATTTTTTTTCATAAAATTGAATTTGATTTCAGGTTCCCCTTTTTCTGATTTATAGCGCTATATTTTCCCCTTCAGAAAGCCACAGGTTGTTTTTAAAATTGGAAAAAAAATCACTGTAAAATGTAAATTGCATCAATGAAAATGCATTTTAATGAAGTCTTGTAAATTTGTCCTAGTTATATTACAAATGTAACAAAAAATATTATTATTTTCTGTAGGAAGATGCTGCCAAGCTGTTTGATGATTTAGCTGATAGTTTGGATACTTTAACTAATGTGACAAATACAGCAGATATTGTAGACTCGGCCGAGTATGTATTATATGTGTTATCACTATTGTTGTAGAATTTCTTTACTGTAATATTTCAAGATTCAGATAACATGTTGTTCAATTCAAATTCATTAGGTTCATAATAAAACAGAAATTGATATAAATTATTACCATCATACCAAATGAGAAAGCTGTTGAAAATAGAGGATATTAAATGAGTGTAGATTTAATTTTAAATCTATTGGACTTGTTGAATAAAACAATATTATATCATATGAGTCTCTTTTCCGTGCATGATATTGTTTTATTCAACAAGTTCAATAAATTTAGCATTGAATCTACACAAATAAAATATTCTATTGACATGCCTATATAAGGGTGTAACGGTTTACCGGTATACCGATATATTGCAATATGAAAAAATAAATTTCGAACCGCGGTACGATTTTTGGAAAACCGGTATTTTATAAAAATCATCATTTTCAATTAATTGCCTTCTAATTTTGTACAAATTTCACATAAAATCTTTAATTGGTGAATTTTATTGGCGTCAACGTAAGATAAAAATATCAGACAACTAGTACACTTAAAAGTCAATAAGCGGCCGCATAATTTACATAAGCAGCCCAGATGTGAAAGGTCACACGCGACTAGTTTTGTTTATCAAATTGTGTGACACTACTTTCTATTTATTCCTTACATTTTTATTAAGTTTCTACTAAAAATATATACATCTAATAATAATATATAAATGTTACTCCATCTTTACATCAAAACATATACACGACAATACGTATTGCAATATATTGCAATACGCTTCAGCAAAATGGCAATATATTGCAATACGGTTTTTGCTGTATTGTTACACCCCTAAGCCTATAGTGTAATGCTAACATTAGCATGCTTTAATGCTATGTTTGTATATAACATAAATGGTGGCACATCAAAGTGTTATTTCATTATTACACTGGTGTAATATTGTGTTTATTAAATGGCTTTATTACACTCTTGCCTCTTGGTTTATGTGATAAAGTTATAACATAAGAAGCAAGAAATTTATGCTATTTAAAAGTCAGACATACAATGATTGCTATTTTAATTGGTTTAAATACTTGTCTTAAACAAAATGAGGATCCAAACAGTCATGATATTAGGACCAATTTACTTCTCTAGCTGTGTCTTAATTTAAGTAATTTCTTGTCAAAGAGTAAGGTTGGAAGCAATAAATAAATTTACATCTTTGTAGGGACTGATATTAAATTAAGGACACTGATTAAGTCAGAAATCTAGGTTATAACATAAGTAAAATTATTATTAGTAGTATTTATTATTATTATTTAATATATATATAAACATAAAAATTCATTATCAATAGAAATGTAGATCAGAAGAAGTAAAAATATTGTTAATACCAAGTTTTTAAATTTTCAGAGAGATATTTATTGGTGTGACACAACTTCTTGATATCAAAGCAGATCAGGGTCATACACAGTTGATGAAAGATCAATCACAAAATAATGCTAACTTGGGAAAGGTATGTTTAAAAAGTCAGCATTTCCTAGAATATTTCTGGAAGCTGTAGATTCATTTGATTCTGGTTATTCCCTGCGGTCTGGAGACCGCAGGGTATTGGTACGCATTTCACTTTTGACGCATGGAGGAGCACGTGACCTGTTTTCGGTACACGGAGGAGCATGTGATCTGTAAACCGTACACGATTGGTTAATTGACCTGTTCGAAAACCTGGCTAAATACCGCTTGTCGGTACGTTACGGAATTACCTCTAGGGAATTAGTCAGAATTACACCTAATTAAGAACAAAAAACTATTACGTGATATTTCTAATTTTCTATAACTATTTTACCGTTTAAGGTGGAAAAACTTGAATGATGTATTTGAAAATTATCATTGTATCTCAAATTTTACAATCAATAAATTGTTTATATACTGAAAATCTACAATTTTAATTTCGTAGTGGCATCTGCCATAATAAATAGAGATATTTTCTGCGTAAACTTGTGTGTTTACTTTTATTTTATTTTTTGCTTGTATTTTTCATCAAATGGTAGGCTTATTTAATCATTTTCTTGAAAAGAAATAATTGTTTTATGTTCGACCTTCTCCGGTCATCAACGGTCACCAGTTTCCAAAGACCTTCTTCTATTTTGATCGATTATTGTCAACTATATTCCTGATACAAATGTTTATTTTTTCCCCTCTCCCAAAACAATGTTGAAAATAGTTAAATGAAATATCTTTATATCATTTCCCGCAGGAAACCATTTTACTTGTATACAATCTTGTAAGTGTTTTTATATATGTTTTATAGGGTATACTGGAATCAGCTTGTCCGTCCGGACAAACCAGAGTTCCGGACGTCCGTCTCCCCGTCCGTCGGTTTTTCCTTGTCCATCCAATAACTAAAGATTCCTTTGACCCACAGTCTTCATATTTGGCATGACTTGTAGATGATCCCTATTGATTTTAAGGTTGCTTGGTCAAAGGTCAAGGTCACAGGGGCCTTGACTAAAAAAGTTTGTCTGCCCAATAACTTAAGATTTCTTTGACCCATAGTCTTCATATTTGGCAAGGAGGTTAGTCATGACTAGTAAATGACCCCTATTGATTTTGAGGTTATTGGGTCAAAGGTCAAGGGGGCCGTGACTAAAAAAAGCTTGTCCTCCCAATAACTTAAGATTTCTTTGACCCACAGTCTTCATATTTGGCATGGAGGTTAGTCATGACTAGTAGATGACCCCTTTTGAATATGAGGTCACTGGGTCAAAGGTCAAGGTCACAGGGGCCTTGACTAAAAAAAGCTTGTCCACCCAATAACTTAAGATTCCTTTGACCCATAGTCTTAAAATTTGGCATGCAGGTTAGTCATGACTAGTAGATGACCCCTAATGATTTTGAGGTTGCTGGGTCAAAGGTCAAGGTCACAGGGGCCTTGACTTAAAAAAGCTTGTCCGCCCAATAACTTTTAGATTCCTTTGACCCATGGTCTTCATATTTGGCATGCAGGTTAGTCATGACTAGTAGATGACCTCTATTGATTTTGAGGTTGCTAGGTCAAAGGTCAAGGTCACAGGGGCCTTGACTAAAAAAGCTTGTCTGCCCAATAACTTAAGATTCCTTTGACCCACAGTCTTCATATTTGGCATGAAGGTTAGTCATGATTAGTAGATGACCCTTTTTGATTTTGAGGTCACTGGGTCAAAGGTCAAGGTCACAGGGACTTTGACTTCAAAAGTTTATCTGCCCAATAACTTAAGAAACCTTTGACCCACAGTCTTCATATTTGGTATTGAGGTTGTTTATGAGTAGTAGATGGCCCCTATTGATTTTTAGTTGACTGTGTCAATGGTCAAGGTCACAGGGATTTTTACTATAATAAGTTTGTCTGCTCAAATGCTTAAGAATGCCTGTCTGCAGTGTATTGATTTTGACATTTTCACATTTGAAGCATGTAGAATACATAACTTAGCAATGCACTAACCTCAGATTTGGCAGGGAGGTTGTCCTTGAGCTCTAAATGGCCACTGTTGATTCTGACAAAGTGGTATGCGGGGGTATTCTCACCATGACAGTGGCAGTTCTAGTTATAAATTGACATACTATGTTCCATAACTCTTTTCCCTTAAACTGAGAGTTGTGTCCCTTTTTACTTATAAAGATTCTTCTTCTCCTTCTTCTCATTCTTTTAGAAAATACAGCAAATTGTTCATTCCTTTGATTGTTTTTCTTCCACTTGCCTTTGAACTTGTACAGAACCTTTGAAGCTTTAGTCAAGATCACATATCAAGGTGCATCTTTGTTTTGAACCAGTTGAGTTATTTTCAGTAAATCTTGTGAATAATATTTTATTTAAAAAAAAAAAATTGTTATGCTTCTTATACCCCAGCACAGATTCGTAAGTGGTGTATACAGGTTAGAGTCTGTTGTAATATACAATCCTGTGTGTGAATTTATCCGCTAAAGCTGCAGAACAAATTCTAACTAATCTTGACAGAAGTAATCTACAGAAGGTCTAGTTCCCTGTTTAGTAACTAATTATACCCCTACCACAAAATGTGGTGGGGGGCTATAATGGATTGCTTTGTTGCGTCCATCGGTCGGTCAGTCGGTCGATCGGTCCGTCGGTCTCCATTTTCGTGTCCGCTCTATAATTCCTATACCAATTGAAGGATTTTCTTCAAACTTGACTCAAATGTTCACCTCAACAAGGGGATGTGCAGAACCCATGTTGCCCATGTGTCAGCTTAAGGTCAAGGTCACAATTGAAGGTCAAATATCAAACAATCAAATATTAAACAGTATGTTGTGTCCGCTTTGTAAGTCCTACACTAATTGAAAGATTTTCTTCAAACTTGGCTCAAATGTTCACCTCAACAAGGGGATGTGCAGAACCCATGTTGCCCATGTGTCAGCTGAAGGTCAAGGTCACAATTGAAGGTCAAATATCAAACATTCAAATATTAGACAGTATGGCGTGTCCGCTCTGTAAGTCCAGTGTTTTTTTTCAGTTTTGGGGGAAGGGGGTCAGTGCCCATTGGGTGGGGAAAAATAGCGCGTAAATGCCAAAAAAGGGGAATTTTCAGTTTTATTAATTAACATTCAATAAAAAGACTAAAAAAAACATGATTTTTTTCAATCCTATAAAATAAATAAAACTAAACAACTTTATTAACTGAGTGACTTCAGTTTGATTCAGTGTAATTTCAATCCCCTACTGTCATTATCAAACTCAATTGATGACAGCATTCAGGTCATCAATGTTTAAGTGTCCATCATAATTGCATATTCTAATCAGGTTGTCAAGACTGTTTTGTCCCAGTCTATTTATGGGAGGAGTGCACAGTAGATTCATTAAACCCATTTCTTTGCACTGGCAGACAAATTATTTAGTGAATTGATCGGGATATTTAAATTTATCATATTTATATCATATATATATTATTACTAAAAAAAATACGCTGAGAAAAAAAAATCGAGCGTACCTCGACTGACTTGCATTGGTCTGATTTTAGAGATTTTTCTTTTGAACCTAGCTCATTAAGTGCCTGCTGCTTAAAAAGAACATTGATACGTTTGTTCTTTGCTGAGAATTGTTTATTTATTATCTTTCGGTAACACCGACTATTGTGTGACATTTTAAACACCAGTGCCTATAAAAGTATACAGTAAATGCGATAGTCGTAAAAGCCGTAAAGATACAGCGGCAATTCAACCCATCGGTAGTTTACAGTAATCTCTTTGTCATAGCGTGTTTTTCTTTCATATTATAATATTCTGTTTATTTTATACTTGCCAAGTAGGCGAGTGTTTATTTTTGAACATTTGCATGTATTTTCTCATAAAAGCCAACGGTAAATAATAAAGTCAATAACCGATTGTCGCGTTACCGTATTGTCTTACAGCCGCGGTAAATCGAACGAAATATGTCGCAAAGCAAGCGTAAATTAAACATACCTGATAATGATTGAATGCACACGCAGTGTTCATGAATTTGCTATGTGAATCAACATTATTAAATTGGCATACTTTACTTATGGTTTGTGTGTTTTCTTTTTTGTTTTTTGTTTGTCTTCAATTTCAATGGGGGAAAATATATATTCTGAGAGGTGGGGAAAGGGGCCGAATAACGCCGAATATTTCGACCAAAAAAAACACTGAAGTCCTACACTTATTGAAAGATTTTCTTCAATCTTGGCTCAAATGTTCACCTCAACAAGGTTATGGCAGAACCCATGTCACCCTTTTGCCGGCTTAAGGTCAAGGTCACACTTGAAGGTCAAAAATTGACTTAGAAAATATTCTTAAATTTTAATATGTATTTGAATATTTCTGAAACTAGTAAAGGTATTTGCTTGAAACTTAGAATATATATGAAGTGTCACAATTAAGATATGCTGGTCAAGTTTCATAACTCTGTATTGCATTTTAACAAATTTATGTTCCTTTTTAAGTCTTCAAATTTACATACAATCAAATATTAGACAATATGTCATGTCCGCTGTGTAAGTCCTATACTAATGGAAGAATTTTCTTCAAACTTTACTCAAATGTTCACCTCAACAAGGTTTATGTGCAGAATCTACGTTACCTTTGTGCCGGCTAAAGGTCAAGGTCACACTTGAAGGTCAAAAATTGACTTAGAAAATGTTCTTAAATTTTAACATGTACTTGAATATTTCTGAAACTAGCACAGGTATTTGCTTAAAAGATATATGAGATGTCACAAATAAGATGTGCAGGTCAAGTTTCATAACTCTGTATTGCATTTTGACAAAGTTATGCCCCTTTTTAAGTCTTTAAATTTACATACAATCAATACTAGACAATATGTTGTGTCCGCTCTATAAATTCTATACTAATGGAAGGATTTCCTTCAAACTTTACTCAAAGGTTCACCCCAACTAGGCAATGTGCAGAACCCATCTTACCCTTGTGCCAGCGTAAGGTCAAGGCCACACTAGGTCAAAAATTGACTTAGAAAATGTTTAGTATATTTGGAAAATAAAGGTTATTTGTAACTGTTTTGAACATGATTTGACAATATATATTTATACTATTACCTGTACAATTAGTCTTTTTTTCATCAGAGATAATTTCTTTTTATGTATATGTATTTGTGCCACTAAAGTTATTCCCTTAACCACCTTTCCAAGTTGTCTTCTGTCAAGGACATTGGTGGGGGTATCAATCGCATTCAGCGATAGTTCTAGTTATTTCATGTGAAGGCATGGAGTGTTTAACATGTCAGACTAGTAATCTAAAGATCCTTAGACATGTGGGTTCAAATCCCATCAAGGACTTCCGTTGTTAACTTGAGAAGAAAACTTTACACTCTTTGCTTAGTACTACTTTGTTCTAGGAAGGGATTTGAGAGTGTGTCTCCAGGATTCTAGTTTCTTACACAAACAAACTAAAAGAGATTCTTCATAAACTATTAACTAAATTGGGAATTAGAGAAGGTCAGCCATTTTGTTGAGGAATTTAGATTTTTCTTAAAAAAAGCAAAAAGACATGAAATACTTCTTTCCACTAGTATGATGGTTAGATTTTGCCATATGATTGAGTTTCAGTTTTGCCATAATGCAAAGATAGAAATGGGAAACAGAAAAGCAAATATTAGCCTTTAGTAAGGTAATTGCTCTGTTTCAGATGAAAAAATCAGCTGGTAGACTTCTTAATACAATAGATAAGATTAGCAACACAATATTGTCAGGGCAGACGGTTGGAGACCCAGCTGTAGTAATTCAGACAGAGAGTGTCAATATTCAGATGGAAAAAATTGAACAGTCAGCATTAGGTGGTAGACATCTTACTATGGGTACTGGTGGTGACACAGAGGTAGCTACAGTAGAATTTCCAGCAGTTGTTGATGGTGTTGATAAAAATATGCCTGATCTAGGCTTACAGGTAAATATCATGAATAATTTTTTTATTTTTTTTTTTAAATCTGCAAATTATGCTTTTATGTGAAGACATAGTTATTTCCCTTTATTTATCAGAATTGTGCATGATTAATTTCTCATATGCAATAGCCCGTGTTTTTCTTCATCACTGATCAGTTGTTATGAGCAAAGGCAGTCTGAGTTCCAGCTAGTATTGCTGCTTTTGGTTTAACAAATTAATTAATTTACATTCTTACACAGGATTCACTATTATACTAACACAAAAACTGAGATATATATGTAGCTGATTAGAAATGAAAATGTGATAATATATATTGCAATTAATGGATTGCTGACTTGATTTTGATACTAGCATTAAGTGTTACAATTTAAAATGTTATGACATGTTTTGTTTTCTTTGTAAAGGTTTTACATATGAAGAAGAATCCTTATATATGGGACAGGTCAGCTGTAGATGTCAATATGGAGGTACTATCTGTAGAACTCACTTCAAAAAATTCTGAAGTGAAAGTGACCAATCTGAGTGAACCTATTAAAGTGTCTCTGACTGCACCAGGTACTTATTACATGTATTAACTAACATTGTTTCAAGTTGTTCAGATAAACCTTACAAATCTAAATGCATCTTACGATAAAAACTGGAGTCTCACGCTTACAAGTAAAACAAGTATGCTTGTGACTTATGTAATTTTGTCAGTATTATGCTTAAGTCTTTGTCATTCTGACTTAAATATAGTATTGATTGACAAATTATTCACATGAAGGTTAAAGCTACACTGTCTTATCTGACCGTATGAATTATATTGTCATACACTACTCTCATCAATTTTTGACTGCTTTGCATTGAACTGTTTTCTTATGATTCAATCTACTGTACTATTGTCATGTTGGTAGAGTACAATCTTGTCCACAATTCATCTCCACTTAGTGACTTTGAATAGCCTATTTTAAATTAACTATCATTGAAATGGTTGTCATTAAGCCTTGATGTGCATTGCTTTGTCTGTCTGGTCCAGTATTGTCAGTGCTTCATCTCCAGCATTAGATTTGAATGAATTCTTTACAAAAAGTGATGAGCCTATTTGTGCATGACTGTAATATATTGACTCCCTATTGGTCAGCTAGTATTAGCCACTTAAGCTTATATGACCAACCTTAATTCACCTGGCATCACCTCCCAGTTGTATTCATTAGTAAATACTTAGATTTAGATGTTTAATCTTTCTTACCCATGCTGCCCAACAACTACAATATAGCAATGACATTACAATGACATTTGCATGTTTTAAACTTTGTTATATGATGAGAAAATTTCTTACAAAGTTTTCCTGTAATTGTCCCCCGCCTTTCGAAGAAAAAAGGGGGATATAGAAATAGGCTCCGTCCGTCTGTCCGTCCTAAGAACCTAGAGGTACTTGTGTGACTTGGAGAACAATGGGTAACAGTAAATTCTCTTTGATCCTATTCCTTCCGTTTTTACTTGTGTGTCTTTTTTAAGCCTTGTGTGACCTTGTCTGTCCGTCCGTTACACTTTCGTGTCCGGTCCATAACTTTGTCATTTATCAAAGGAATCTGAAATACCTTGGCACAAATGTTTGTTATAATAAGACGATGTGTCATGCGCAGCAACCAGAACCCTAACTCTAGGGTCAAGGTCGCACTTGCTCATTCAAGGTCAATATTGTCCAGTCCATAACTTTCTTATCTTTGAAGGGATTTTGTAAATACTTGCTACAATTGTTCACAATAATAAGACGATGTGTCATGAGCAACAACCGGTCACCTACCTCCAAGGTCAAGGTCACACATGGAGGTCAAAGATTAACATAGTCTGTTACAGGGTATATTTTGTGTCCTGTCCATAACTTTTTCATAGATCAAAGGATTTTGTAAATACTTGCCACAAATAGTCACTATAATAAGACGATGTGTCATGGGCAACACCTGCATCCCTACCTCCAAGTTCAAGGTCACACTTAGAGGTCAAAAGTTAGTCTGTTTTAGGGTATATTTTGTGTCAATCTAGAACTTCTTCGGGATTTTGAAATAACAAGGAACAAATAGTCACATAATAAGATGATATGTCAAGTACAACACCTGCACCCCTACCTCCAAGGTCAAGGTCACACATAGAGGTCCAAAGTTAACAGAGTCTGTTATATGGTATATTTTGTGTCCCGTCCATAACTGCTTCATAGATCAAGGGATTTTGAAAATACTTGGCACAACTAGTCACAATGATAAGATGATATGTCATGTGTAACACATGTGTCCCTACCGCAAAGGTCAAGGTCACAGGTAGAGGTCAAAGATTTACATAGTCTGTTATAGGGTATATTGTTTGTCCAGTCCATAACTTTTTCATAGATCAAGGGATTTTAGAATTACTTGGCGCAAATAGTTACAATGATCAGACGATATGTCATGCACAACACCTGCACCCCTATTTCCAAGGTCAAAGTCACACTAAGAGGTCAAAGCTTAACATGATAGATTTTTAAATTCTCTGTTTCATTTTATTTCTTTAATAAATTTATTGTTGCATTTGCAGATCTAGCATTGATCATAATTTTGGACTGAAAGTCCTGAGATCCATATCTCAATCTTTTGAAATATCACAATTTTATGCTTCATATAAAACTTCCCCAAGGCGGGGGACGTTTGTAACTCAGTTACAAATTCTTGTCAACTTATTTATTGCTTCTTCATTTTGTAAAAAATAAAAGATACAGTGTTATTTATAACTTTAACCATATGATGCTATATTGACTTTATTGAAACCATTTCAGAGACGCAGGAGCCACCATACAGTACTTTATTTCTACATGTCAATAAATCAGATGGAAATTTGACCTACAACAGCTCAAATACTAACATGTTAATCTCCAAATTCACCATCCCTGATGGCAAAACTGTCATTCTCTCCCTCAATACATTCTTTCAGATCAGTAATTTAAAGATATATATCGATGAACTAGAAAAACCAAATTTTGATAAGCTTTCTGATGCAGGACTGACATATCCTGGTGATGTTGAAAAATTTAACCAAAATTTCTCAAAATTTGAACTAACAGATAAAACTCCTGAAAGTGCAAATCTTATATTCTTAACATATAATAGTAGGAATTCTGTAAATTATACTGGAACCTATTACCTTGGAGTAACTGTTGATTTAAATGACAGTTTGAGTGTTCAAGAATTGAGAGATTTAGATGCCAAGTGTATAGGAAATGATACTATAGCAGATTGTGAGACTGTTGTGGAAGTGACTGTGCAAGTGGACACAGTAACTTTATCATGCACATACTGGGACACATCTACACAGACATGGAGTAATAGGGGTTGTGAGGTAATAACATTTTTTTGTGCTTATCTTCTGACATGCTTCTTAAATTGTCTTTTTTCTAATAATCACTTATAGCTTTCTTCATTTTATGTGTGGCCTTTCTTATATATTTTTCATGAAATTGTTCAATATTCACCCATGTGAAAAAAAGTAATCAAAGTGTTTGGTTTTGCTTCCCCCATTTTAGGCCTAAGATAGTGAAAAAATGTTGAGCATGCTGTTACAGAGGCTATGGTCCACACAACATTTGTGCCAAGTTTCATCAGAGCTGAAGCATTTTTTATAGTTTCATAGCAGTTTGAACTTGTAACAGGAGGCTTTTCATTGAAATTGGCCATTTTTCACGATCTGCTCATGTGGTAAAGGGTTAAGATATTAGCTGGGTATAAGGGCTAACCATATGTGTATAAATCTGTTATTTTAATGTTTCCTTTAGAATAGAGGATAATTTTTATTGATAAAGATATCAATCTTTATGCTAGTATTGTTGCTAAGTTTAGCTGATACTTATCACTTTAAATTGTATTTTGTATACTGGAATCAGTATAATTTTGACAGTACGATTTTATATCTAGGTGTCCCCACTTTCATCCAAAGACAAATTGGAATGTCTGTGTACACATTTGACAGCATTTTCTGGAGGTGTGTTTGTGTTACCAAATATTGTGGATCCCATTGATGACATGGAACTGTTCCTGACGTTCTTTGATAACCCTGTTGTCGTGACAACTGTTGTCATAGTCTGGGTCCTCTATTTCTTCCTCATTCACTGGGCACGTATGTACGATAAAAAGGATAAAGAGCAGGTTTGAGTTTGATTTATATTTAATCATTGTTGTTTTTTTTCTTCTCACATTTAAAGGAAATTGTGGCAGGGCCCTTGGAGAGAGGAAAATTTCGTCACAGAGGGGAGAAAGGGGAAATTGTAAAAGGGATGAAACAGTCTATTTTAAGTGATATGGTGATATATTACCTTCATTGTATCAAACAACAGTATCTTCTGCCTCATTCTTGTGAATAAATGGATCACAATAATACATATAAAATATGATACAATGTATATATATATATATTTTATTATTTATTTTTTTAATTTATACTTTTGGAGGGGCACTTGAAGTCTTACTCCACCAGTATACATGTAGCTTGAAAGTCACCGTATGACAACTGCTGTGTTGGTGCGACATAAAAGCCAATCTATGACCTTTTGTGGTTATCGTTACCTTTGAAATCAACACTTGTAATAATTCCAGTAATATTCATATATAATTCCTGGATTAATATTGTATACCATTACACAGGTTGGAGTTATTCCTGTAGGTGATATTGATGCCATAAACAAGCACATGTATCTTGTCTGTGTGGTGACAGGATGGTGGACTGATGCAGGGACCACTGCTAACGTCTTCTTCTACATGAAAGGTAGTCTTTGTAGTCAACATTGATGATTACACATAATTATTGTGAGTCAAATTCAACTAAAGACATAAATTAATGTTAAATTGTTACCTAAGTTTAGGGGGCGCCTGTGGCCGAGTGGTTAAAGTTGTTGACTTCAAACCACTTGCCCCTTACTGCTGTGGGTTTGAATTTGGACATGGATTCTTTCATGTGAGGAAGCTATCCAGCTAGCTCACAGAACGCCAGTTGTTCTACTCACCTGAAATAATTCACAAAGGGGCACCTTCCTACACCAGTAAAGCTGGAAAGTCGCGATATGACCTATACTGTGTTGGTGTGCCATAAAACCCAATCAGACCAACTAAATTAAATTCAGGACTTGAAAGTTGCATTTGTTATTTAGCAAGCCTGAAAAAACTAAAATCATCTAAAGTATATACTGATACCATTTTTAATTGGTCATCATTTTAAAATGAATTGTTTTGAAAAATTGTAGCTATATCAGTCTGTATTTTCTTAGAGTAATCTTTGTCATTGCAACATATGGCAATCAATTTTACTTATTAAGAATTTACCATGTGTGACCAAGGTTGAAGAAGAACAAAATTCAATCATGTGAAACTTGAGGAAATGATGCTTGCATCAAATGCGAGGATAAATTCAATCTACATTGAATACTTAATATGTGGTAAGAATGTGTTTAAAGGAACTGGGCCATGCCGTTCGAATCTCTTGGTGCCTTGTATTGACATCACTGTGAACTTTGAAATTTTAAGCTATTGAAAAAAAATTTGTAAACTTTGCATGATTGAACAGAACAATAATAAAAAAAATAATTATTTGCCCCTTCAAGTGACTTTTTCTCTTTAAGGTCATTTTCAAGAGCAGAAAACACCCATAATCAATTATTTCGCCACTATATTTTATCACAAATTTGTAATTTATTGTTATTAGATTTTTAGTCATTTTGCAAAGTTTGAAACAATTCTATTCAACAAACATTTTATTATGCTTCAATTAGTAAACATACTGCATTGCTTCCAAAAAGTGGGGCAAACTGTCATTTTGCATAGGCAAGTATAGAACAAAATCTTCCACAATTTCAAATTTTTTTAATCTATTTGCTCTGGGAAATGACCCAAAAGAGCTGAAACTGACATTTTCAGAGGCAGATAACTCTAAAAGTAGTATTTGGACCCCCAACTTTATTTTCATAAATTTGTTAAAAATACGATTCCACCCTTAAACCATTCAAAATGAAAGAAAATTCTCTGCCTTTCCTATTTGCCTACGTAAAATGCTGTTTTGTTGGCTTTGAGAATTGTTAATTAGTATATAACTGTCTTTGAAACATTTTGTGGTTCAGACTCAGTGTATATGCTACAAGGAGGAAAGTAAATTATTTCAAAAGCTAAGGCACATATTTCTTTAAGGTATGAATGGGTCAAGTGCAAGAATCAAGTTGACAACTCCTGCAAGGCGTTGCTTTCAGTCAGGATATGAAGACTGGTTCCTAGTTACTACTGATGAATCATTGGGGGATTTGCATGATATTACACTGTGGCATGATAATTCTGGAGCCAGTCCACATTGGTATATAAACATTGACTTGATTTCACACAATGTTACATTATCCTAGAATGTTGGTATGTAAAACACAGACTTTGTGTTATAATACAGTTATTGGTAATGTAATATTCACAAAGGCCAAGTTACCAAGTCTATGAATCTTGCTTATATGATATTCATTGAGGCCTAAAGGTTGCTATTGTGATATTTGCTGTGAACAAAAGGTCAAAATGTTGAGATCACAAAGAATATTTTTTTTGTATTCAGTTTTTTTTTTTTTTTTGGTCAATAACTTTTATTATAATAATTATGACGTTGAAACTTGATACGTAAATGCATGTTGATCATTTCTGTATGTCATGCTTATTTTGAGGTTAAAAAGACAAGGGTAATGTGACCTTTAATTCATATTATCTTTTTATCCTAGGCTACTAGGGTAAGCTCCTAAATATCATGCAAGCTCTAACTTGTTTTATTGGTTACAGGTATTTGAGTCAGTTGTTTGTGAAAGACCTTAAGGATAAAAAATCATGGACATTCATCTACAATGACTGGTTGGCAGTGGACAGAGGATCTGCTTTGCTTACCACAGCTTGTGTACCAGCAGTAAGTAAAGATGAACTTAAGTTTAAACAGAAACACAACTTTATGGTGAAGACAACACATGACCTTAGAGATTCTCATATCTGGATCAGCATTTTCTCGAAACCAGCTCGAAGTTCCTTCACAAGAGTTCAGCGTGTAACATGTGCACTATCTCTGTTATTAACTACCATGCTAACGAACATCATGTTTTACGGTATACCTACTGACGACCCTGATGACCAGGTGGGCGGTTCTAGGGGCGTGGTCATATCGTTATCATCTATCGTGATAGGGATACAGAGCAGTCTGATAATGTTTCCGGTGAATGTTATCATCATGCAGATGTTTCTTAAACTGAAACAGCGGCCAAAGAAGGAACGTTATGACAAGAAGATGCAGACCGTCATACGGTCATTATTTGATAGAGCATCCCGTGTTACCACAGACTTCCTACCTAAACTGTCAACTGATGTACAGCAATCTGATCAGGAACATCACAGTCACAGTCCCTTAGGTTTGTTTGCTTTGTTTTGTTAGATTTTTTAAGTCACACCAACACTGTTAAGGTCATAGAGGAACTTTCTAGCTTTACATAGGAGGAAGACCTCTGGTGGTCCTTTGTGCATTATTTCAGGCACGGGCAGGCAACCAGTAGAACCACCAATCGAAGTTCCCTAAGCTAGCTGGATAGCTTCCTCACATGAAAGTATCTAAATCCTTAATGGGATTTGAACCCATTGAATCCATGTATGTAAATTTTGATTCAGTTTTTTGACAATTTCTTGTCACTTGTATTACACAACTGATGAAGCTAATAAAGCAAAACATGATTTGATATTTAAAATTGTGCTGGTTTTTGACCTGTAATTTGGGTAATGTGATTTTAGACAAATTTATGTATCCCTTCCCTGACTGAAAGATTACTTTCAAATAAAGTTGTTTTCATGTGTATATTGCCTGGCCATTATAGTGCTCTTGTTACAGTTAACCTGGTCAGTATAATTTGAAGAATTACATTGATATATTTTAGATGAAAGAATGTCTTACTACTCTGTAGATGATACTAAATCACTAGAAGACACTATGTTTGATGCGCAGAGTTTTACAGAACATGAAAACACAAAAAAGGACAAAATTATTATCTTAAGTGAAACTAAAGAAGCAGGCAAAATGTAAGTGATAATCATACATGTACTTACACTGACTGTTTAAGGCTCAACATTAGTTTGGCCAACATATAAAATATGATTGACAAATATGTTTTTTGTTATTAAGCTGTTATTTGTTACTAGATGTTTTTTCTTAATTTTAAGTAAAATAAATATGCTAACCAAAATTTGTGGAGAAGGAGTGTGACAAGTTTCAGTCTGCAGTTCCCAATAATCAAGTGTGCTAATATTGTTTATCTTCCTGGGTCTGCTTAACTAGATGTGTTCCCATTTTTATCCCCCGCCGAAAAATTTCGGCGGAGGATATAGAAATAGTCTCCGTCCGTCCGACCTTCCGTCCGTCCTTCCGTCCGTCCGACATTTTTGTCCAGAGCATATCTCTAAAAGTATTTGAGTTATCAACTTGAAACTTCATAGGTGGATAGACCTCATTGAGGAGGAGTGCAGTGCACAAGAATGATAACTCTACCTTGCAAGATTTTTTAGTTATTGCCCTTTGTTATTTTTCAAAATTGATTTTTGTCCAGAGCATAACTCCAAAAGCCTATGAGATAATAACATGAAACTTCATAGGTGCATAGATCTCACTCAGGAGGTGTGCAGTGCACAAGAATGATAACTCTACCTTTCATAATTTTTGAGTTATTGCCCTTTGTTATTTTTCATACCTAATTTTTCACCTGAGTGGAGCATAACTCAAAAAGTGTATGGAGATATCAACATGAAATGTCATAGGTGGATAGATCTTATTGAGGAGGAATGTTGTGCGCAAGAATGATAACTCTTCCCTATACAATTTTTGAGTTATTGCCCTTTGTTTTTTTTCATACTATTTTGTCCAGAGCTTATCTGAAAAAGTATTTGAGGTATCAACTTGAAACTTCATAGGTGGATGGATCTCATTGAGGAGGAGTGCAGTGCACAAGAATGATAACTCTACCATGCATAATTTTTGAGTTATTGCCCTTTGTTATTTTTCATTCTATTTTGTCCAGACTTTATCTCAAAAAGTATTTGAGGTATCAACTTGAAACTTCATAGGTGGATGGATCTCATTGAGGAGGAGTGCAGTGCACAAGAATGATAACTATACCTTTCATAATTTTTGAGTTATTGCCCTTTGTTATTTTTCATACCTAATTTTTCACCTGAGTTGAGCATAACTCAAAAGTGTTTGAGATATCAACATGAAATGTCATAGGTGGATAGATCTTATTGAGGAGGAATGTTGTGCGCAATAATGATAACTCTTCCCTATACAATTTTTGAGTTATTGCCCTTTGTTTTTTTTCATGCTATTTTGTCCAGAGCTTATCTGAAAAAGTATTTGAGGTATCAACTTGAAACTTCAAAGATGGATGAATCTCATTGAGGAGGAGTGCAGTGCTTAAGAATCATAACTCTACCCTGCATTATTTTTGAGTTATTGCCCTTTGTTATTTTTCAAAATTAATTTTTGTCCAGAACATAACTCAAAAAGCCTTTGAGATAATAAAATGAAACTTCATAGGTGCATAGATCTCACTCAGGAGGTGTGCACTGCACAAGAATGATAACTATACTTTTTATAATTGTTGTGTTATTGCCCTTTATTCTATTTCATACTTAATTTTTCAATTCAATTTTTTTCTCAAAAAGTATTTGAGGTATCAACTTGAAACTTCATAGGTGGATAGATTTTACTGAGGAGGGATGCAGCACACAAGAATGATAACCTACCCTGCATTATTTTTCAGTAATTGCCCTTTGTTATTTTCAGCCATCAGTATTCACATAGGTTTCAAATCTGTAATCACTATAGCCATCAGTTTCATTACCAAAAGACCTCTTAAAATGGAATTATTCCGCTCTACTACATATACATTCTTCCAATGAGCAAACACATTCGGCGGGGGATGGCCATGTTGACATGGCTCTTGTTTTCCTTGTATTTCTAGGCATTAGTGTTAGATTTAAAACCTGGTATTTTTTATTTTCAGTCTACCATGGTGGTTTCTGTACATTTCCTGGTTCCTGGTTATCTCTGTCTGTCTTATTTGCTCTTACTTTGTCATGTTGTATGGATTAAAGTATGGGTACCAGCGTAGTGTGGAATGGCTTGTTTCTTTCTTGACTGGATTCTCACAAAGTGCCTTGATAACACAACCATTAAAGGTAAAATGTTATAAAATATGTATTTATTTGTGCCTTTATGTTTGTATATGTATTTATGATATCTTGTAATTACTATAGCTAAGAATAATCATAAGGAATATTATAAATCTGACTGAATCGCCAGAAACAACAGTACAAAAGTAGCTATAAATAGCTCACTGCTCTGGTAAGATGATAAAAGTAACAAAGGTATAAGGCCAATTAGCACAACAAGAATGTGGGCTCAAATCCCATCAAGGACTAGGAATCTTTCATGTGTCATGCAGCAATTCAGCTAGCTAAGGGAAGAAACTTGATTCCATTGAGTTCTTACTTAGTGTCTGAAATAATAAACCATGGGGCAACTGATGTCTTCCTGCACCAGTAAAACTGAAAAATCATTCTTTGGCATTTACTGTGTCTTCTGACACCATATTAGAACTTGCCAACCTTCTTTTAGCTAGCTGGATACCTTCCTCACATTAAAGAATTCATGCCCTTGACAAGATTCAAACCCACAGCTGTGAAGAGCAAGTGATTTTAAGTTGACGACCTTAACCACTCTTCCATTAAGGCTCTCCTGCAAATTATGAATAAACACAGCCATAAAAAATTGATAAATGATTTAACAAAAAGGTAATGACGCACTGATATCTGCTTGCTTGTCCCATTCATACTATATCCCATCTTCCTATTTCTTAAAATTATTAAGAACATTCATATTTAATCAATATAGGAAGCCAAACTTAATGTTTTTATGCCCCCGCCATATAATGGCAGGGGCATATAGTGTTACCCTGTTCCGTCATTCCGTCATCACCAGTTTCCGTTCATTATCTTAATAACCGTTGCACATATTGAACTCAAATTTGACATATAGATATGTCATGAGAAAATACAGGTCAAGTTCGAAATTGGTCATGGTTCAATGATTTTTGGCAGAGTTATGCCCCTTTTACTTTGAAAATAATATAAAATTTTCAGTTTCCATTCATTATCTCCCCAACGGTACAACACATTCAACTCAAACTTGACATATGGATATGTCATGAGAAAATACAGGTCAAGTTCAAATTTGGTCATGGTTAAATGAATTTTGGCAGAGTTATGCCCCTTTTACTTTTAAAATAATATGAAATTTTCAGTTTCCGTTCATTTACTCCCCAATGGTACAACACATTCAACTCAAACTTGACATATGGATATGTCATGAGAAAATACAGGTCAAGGTCGAATTTGGTCATGGTTCAATGATTTTTGGCACAGTTATGCCCCTTTCACTTTGAAAATAATATGAAATTTTCAGTTTCCATTCATTATCTCCCCAATGGTACAACACATTCAACTCAAACTTGACATATGGATATGTCATGAGAAAATACAGGTCAAGGTCGAATTTGGTCATGGTTCAATGATTTTTGGCACAGTTATGCCCCTTTCACTTTGAAAATAATATGAAATTTTCAGTTTCCATTCATTATCTCCCCAATGGTACAACACATTCAACTCAAACTTGACATATGGATATGTCATGAGAAAATACAGGTCAAGGGTGAATTTGGTCATGGTTCAATGATTTTTGGCAGAGTTATGCCCCTTTTACTTTGAAAATAATATGAAATTTTCAGTTTCCGTTTATTATCTCCCCAACAGTATTACACATTTAACTCAAATTTGACATATGGATATGATTTTGGAATGCGCAGGCCAAGTTCAAATTTGGTCATGGTTCAATGATTTTTGGCAGAGTAATGCCCCTTTCACTTTGAAAATGATATGAAATTTACAGTTTCTGTTCATTATCAACCCAACAGTGTTACATTTTCAACTCAAAATTGACATATGGATATGTCAAAGGAATGTGCAGGTTAAGTTGGAATTTGGTCATGGTTCGATGATTTTTTGGCAGAGTTATGTCCCTTTCACTTTGAAAATAATATTGATACATCTTAGGAATAAGCATTTTTAAGTTTGAATTTGGTCGTGGTTCAATGATTTTGGACAAACTTATCTTTCCTGAATGTTGGAAAAATTTTGAACTTTCAGTTTCAGCACTCATACTTTTGTGGAAATGTATATAGCCATTATTTTGGCTACAAATATGCAATATGCTATTTTTGTGTCGCCTCTACGGAGTAGTGGCGACATATAGGGATCACTTCTCCTTCGTCTGTCTGTCCGTCTGTCTGTCTGTCTGTCTGTCCGTCTGTCCGTCCGTCTGTCACAAAACTTGTCCGGACTACTCCTCATAAACTACTGGTGCAATTTCATCCAAACTTTACAGGAATGATCAGTACCAAGTCTAGTTGTGCATATTGTCAGCATTTTCCGGTTCAATGTTTTTTGTTTGAGTTATGGCCCTTTAATAATTTTTATTTTTAAAGTTTGTCCAGACTACTTCTCTTATACCACTTATGCAATTTCAATGAAACTTTACAGGATTGATCTGTAGCTCACGTCCTTGCGCATATTGCACGGGTTTTCCGGTTGAATGATTTTTGGCGAGTTATGGCCCTTTGATAAAAAGGTGTTTTTTTCTGTGTGTTGCCAGATACGCAAAAGCTTGTCCGGACTACTCCTCATAAACTACTGGTGCAATTTTATCCAAACATGACAGGAATGATCAGTACAAAGTGGTTAGTCTAGTTGTGCACTGTCCGTCTGTCTGTCACAAAATTTGTCCCAACATGAAATTGGCCATCATGAGGCGACACATGTGATTACTGATCGCTCTTGTCAAAAGGTTAAGACTAATTTCAGTGCTTGAACATTGTATAAAAATGGTTTGTGTTAACATTGAAAAGTTTTAAGGGCTTTGAACTTAGAATGAAATAAAAAATTTGTACAAACAAATTTGGAACTAAATATTATAACATTTGAAATTTTGGCTGCATGCGGGGGCATCCGTGGCATGATGACACATTTCTAGTTTTAAATTGTTTCTTTTACCATGTTTACATAAATTCATATAGGAGCAATATAATTGTATATTTTAGGTTCTTGTTGTGGCAATAATAATAACACTGGTCTTTAAAAGAACAGTTGAGTTTGATGACTATGGGCCAGAAGTTAAACTTGGTGAGTTAGAATTTGAAATAGATGTTTTAAGTTGACAACTAAATGACAGCTATTTAATATAAGAAATATTGTAATATATCAGCTGGTAGTTAAAAAGTGATATTTATTGTTATCTAGCTTGTCTTACCGTAAGTTCTTCAAGTTTCTTATGTTAAGAGTATTTGTAAGGAAACAAATATTGCTCTGCCTTAGGATAACTTTTTCTTCATAACCACTTTCAGCAATTGGTTGAAGGGATGTATTTTAAATGAGTGAACAACAGATAAAATTACTGCCAACTGGCATTTTAGGCTAAATATTCTAGTATATAGTTTTCTTAAATTTTTCTTATTTATACTATTTATTATGGACAAAAAGATACCTTTTCAAAAAGATCAAGAGAGACAAAATGACAGCTTTTAATATGCCGGACTAGACAAAAAGATAATGTCACACTGACTTCTGCTTGCTTATGTCCCATTTATACTATATCCAGCTTCTTATTTTATTAAGATTCCAAAAGACACATAATGTGTGTTAGGAATAGGGACATACAATGAATGAGTCATCTTGCTTTCTTGCATCCCCATGCAATTTAATTTTACCCTCAAAGAAGCAATTTCCAATATAATGCTAATGACGATAACAAATTTTGTAATGTAATTTGTTTGTATTGAATTTTTCATTGTAATATTAACTGCATTTGTTACTTTCAGATGAAGATACAATGTTTGTGAATTCAGTTAACAAGGTGGAAGAGTCGCATATACCATTCAGCAAACCTTTGTCTTCAGAATTATTAAAGAAAATCAAGCACAGAGTACAGGTATGCACTTTGTGTTATGAAAAAAATGTTTTGTTTACAAGTAAGGAACAAGATAAAGTAATCAAACTTTCTGTATAGCTAGCTTATATGGAGACCTAGCTTGGGATTGTTATTTGGCCCCCTAGAATCAAGGTCACTGTTACTATAAAATAGAAAAATGGTTTCAGGACAGGTTTGAAAACTTGGTTTCGTGGCATGTTTCTTGTTTGTTGAATGTGTTACATCAGGTTGCATCTTATGATATTAATAAATAATGTTTTTTTGTGTCATTCTGTTTTCAGTTAGAGTGGCTGATGGATATAACAATACGAGATATCATTTTGTACATATTTTACTTATTGGTGGTGTGTATTGTGGTACATGGTCATCGTGACATTAAAGAGGCCTATCACAATTCATTGGCTATTGAAGATGTATTGATAAATCCTGGCTGTATTTTACTCAACCAGTGCTTCTTCTTAGCTAGTGTAAGATTATTTTAATATTTAATATTCTTGATTTGTATGGAGAAAAGCTAGAATGATGAAGAAAGTGTTATTAAGAAATAACAGAGCTGTTTGTTTGTATTGTTTTATTTTGTACTTGTTAATATATATTTCCCTTCAACTATCATGTAGAAAACAAGTGGCGGCTTGGTTAAGTGGTTAACACGTCGGACTAGTAATCTAATGATCTCTAGCCGCATGGGTTCAAACACCGACAGGGGCAAGTCGTTGTTTCCTTGAGCAAGAAACTTTACACTCATTGCTCATTACTGGTTGGTTCACTTAGGAACGGATTCGAAAGTGTGTCTATTGAAACTTGTAAAATGTGTTTTTTTGACTTTACCCTCTGTGTATAAGAGAACATTTCTATGTCTTGGATATAGAATTATGGCCCTTTTATGGCCCTTTTTCGACGGACGCGCCCTCAGGCGCGTTCAGAGCTATGTCATCTACACATGGAATTTCGACGTCTACAATAAAAAAAAAGTGTCCTGAACCGAATAACATCTAACAAATAGTGTAGGATTTAATCATTTAAAGCACACCCATTATGTCGAAAAATGCGAAAAGCGTTAACATGACCCTTGATTGGAAATAAAAGTTATTCTATTCTATTCTATGAAACCATTACAATTGTCTTTAGTCATAATTGGAAGTTTCTAGCCAAGCTCCATTAAACTCAGGCATAGAATTTTGCTGCCCTTTGTAAATAATAAAAAAAAAACCTTGGTCCTTTTTTGACAGCATTTATGCAATTCCCTTTACATGTCCGTCGCACCCAGTGCTTTTAGCACTTTGATTTATGTAATGTTTGTCAAGTTTTTTTGTTGTTTTTTTACGTAAATTCAGTTCACTGAACATTTTTGAGATAACGGTTTTAATTTAAAATCTCTTGAAGTTCAATGCATACTTATTTACGCCATTCACACACATTGCTATGAAATAAATAACTCTGGAATGGACTTCAACATAATTCAGGGCTCTTATTCTTTTTCCTTGCAAGTTTCTTATGATCTGTTGATGTTAACTTCAAATAGTCAGGTGTTCAGTCATAGGGACAATTCAGTTATAAATTGCAAATACTAAATCAAGATAATTTTAAGTATTCTTTACTTTCTTTGGTTTAAAGTGAATACTTATGCAGTCATTGAATTTATGGCTGGCCCGGTGACCCATGGCCAGTTAAAATTAGTTCGGGCCAGTGAAAATTTTAAGAAAATTTAGTTAAATAATATATAGTAGAATAAAATGCAAAACTGGAATTTGGGCTAGTAAATTCAAAATCTTAAATTCATTGACTTGTTCTGTAATGGAAGGTGTGTGATACCATACATACCATACACATAAGAATTACATTATACATATGACTGCTGTTGGTCAGATATGTGATCCTGTATAACATATGTATGTGTAGCAGATAACAGAATGTTCTAGAACAAAATATTAACATTCATCATATAAATGGACATCTAAATCACTTTGAAGTCTACTGACATTTCTGACATTTCCTTTTCAAGAAATATTTTATATGAATACCCAAATGATATATTTCTTTTGTTTTCATCAATATTTGAAATATTTATTGAAAATGTGCTCATTATACAGCAATCCAAATTAAATTTTTTCATGAATAGGTAGACAGGGTTGAGTCTTTCTACAAATATCTACGTGAGGTTGCAGTACCCAATTTAGCTGACATGTCCATAGCAGATCATGAGTATGCTACACCAGGCTCCAGTCATTTCTTGGTTGGTCCGTGGAGATTAAGACAACTTAGAGTGGACAAAGGTTATATCTTCATTAAAATAAATACAGTATAACCTTTGTAGAGCAACATCCTTTGGGAGACAAAAATTTAATTTGGTTGTTGCTTAGATGTGTTGTCCTGCAGTGGTAAAACAATTAGTGAAAATCTTTACTTTGGGAAGAAATGATATTGTTGTTGTGAAGAGGTTATTGCTCCACAGGGGGTATACTGTATTTGAACAATGACAATTATTGGTTTTATAAACCTATATACTTGTAAAATTTAAGGGGTATTTTTGCCGTTGTCTTAATATGCTCTTAGCAAAGCAGTATCAGATGTACTTTTAAATGCTCAGTAAAAAAAATATCAAACATATTATTAAATTAAAGTGACAAAAAGATTATAACTTTTTACTGCAAACATTTCTCCAGTTTTAAGCTCAGTTATTCAAAGATAGTGAAGTCTATCTACAAACCATGGCTACAGCAGCGTAAGCCTTAGCTTGATACAGTTGCTTCAGGTTTTGCTTTCAACTTCATCTCAATAACATTATAGCCATTCTTTTAAAATTTTTGACATGTCTTTTTGATCATAATTATTTGTCACTTTCAATCAAAGACTGGTAACTCTAGCAAAAAATTTGTACCGATTTGTATCATTTTGTAAACTATAAAAAAAATACTTGGTAAGGGTTTATATGCACCTTCCTGCCATTTAATTTGTAGATTTTGTAAGGTGTTCTCTTGCAATTTCACGTCTTTTCAGTTATCATTGAAGGCCACTGATCAAGTACATGTATTTAGAATACAGTATAGCAGCATTGCAATTACCAAAATTTCTTGATTTGTTGTTGTTGTTTTAACTTAATAGTACACCTTTAATCATACCTGGATATTTTTTATTCTACATTAGGGACATGTGGGGCAGGTGCTGATAACCTCTTTCGTCAATTTAACATGAATGTTAAAGAATGCTCCGGAGCTTACTGGCTTGGTGATGAAGAGAAGAGGAACTTTGACAAGTCTTGGAGTAAAGAAGTAACAGCATCAGCTGATCCCCCAACCAGATGGACTCATCAGTCGGCATGGAAACTGAAAACAATACCTTTCGCGGGACAGCTTGCAACATACTCTGGTGGAGGATACATTATAACAATGCCAAATACAACTTCTCTACAAGAAGGTTTTTTTACCCCTTGTTTGATGAAATAATGTTTACTGAACCTTTAACTTCAAATATTTTTATAAATTATTTCAAGTACTTTATGAATCATGTTTCTGGCAATACAAAATGTAAACTTAGTTACTATTGAACAACAAAAAAAATTAAAAATACCAATAAGAACTTAATATTATGTTTATATATTATGTTTTTTTTGTGTTTTTTAGCTCACCTGTCACAAAGTGACAGGGTGAGCTTTTGTGATCGCTTTTCGTCCGCGTCCGGCCGTCGTCCGTAAACTTTTACTTTAAATGACATCTCCTCATAAACCACTAAGCCAATTTCATCCAAACTTCACAGGAATGTTTCTTTGGTGGTCACCTTTGAAAAGTGTTCAAAGAATTTAATTCCATGCAAAACTCTGGTTGCCATGGCAACCAAAAGAAAAAACTTTAAATATCTTCTTCTAAAAAACCCAAAGAGCTAACTCTTAGATATTTGGCATGAAACAAATTCTAGTAAGTGTCTACCAAGTTTGTTCAAATAAAAGCCCTGGGGTCAAAATTGGCCCAGCCCCAGGGGGTCATTGATTTTCCCTATATGCATATAGTAAAAACTTAAAAAATCTTCTTTTAAAGACCCAAAGAGCTAGAGCTAAGATATTTAGCATGAAACATGTTTTAATGGATGTCTACCAAGTTTGTTCAAATAAGAGCCCTTGGGTCAAAATTGGCCCCGCCCCAGGGGGTCATTGATTTTCCTTATATGTGTATAGCAAAAACTTAAAAAATCTTCTTTGAAAAAAACCAAATAGCTAGAGTTTAGATACTAAGCATGAAACATCTTCTAGTGAGTGCCTACCAAGTTTGTTCAAATAAAAGCCCTGAGGTCAAAATTGGCCCCGCCCCGGGGGTCATTCATTTTCCTTATATGTGTATAACAAAAACTTAAAAAATCTTCTTTTAAAAAATTCAAATAGCTAGAGTTTAGATATTAAGCATGAAACATCTTCTAGAGAGTGTCTACAAAGTTTGTTCAAATAAAAGCCCTGGGGTCAAAATTGGCCCCGCCCGGGGGACATTGATTTTCCTTATGTGTATAGCAAAAACTTAAAAATCTTCTTTTAAAAAACCCGAATAGCTAGAGTTTAGATATTAAGCATGAAACATTTTCTATTAAGTGTCTACAAAGATTGTTCAAATAAAAGCCCTTGGGTCAAAACTGGCCCTGCCCCAGGTGTGTCATTGTTTTTAACTATATGTGTAAAGAAAAAACTTGACCAGCTAGACCTTCTAATGGGTGTCTACCAAGTTTGTTCAAATAAAAGTCCTGGGTTTAAACTGGCCCCGCTCCGGGGGCCTGTATACAGGTGAGCGACTTCAGGGCCATCATGGCCGTCTTGTTTTTTAAACTATTAAATAGATGAGTTTGACAAGCATTAGTGCCATGATGAGTATTTAGAGCAAAACTTTGTTAATTACTGGAATACAAGATTTGATAACCAGTTTTTGTTTCAAATGTTCACATAGTCTCTCATTGTATCAGAAACATGAGAACTTTCATGTCTTGTTCAAGCATTACAGATCTATACAACAGAATTGAAGTCGAAGAAAATAACTGAAAATAAAAATAAGATTAAAAGTACTAAAATTTTTGTTATCAGATTTGTCTTTTACATATGCTAAAGATTTCTGTTATATCTTTTTATTGTTTTATATTTAAAAATAGGTCAAAATTTTCAAGTTCTAATGTTTTTATCAAAATTTGTCTATTACATATGCTCAGGGTTTTCTTAATATCCTTTTATCATTTTATATTTGAAAATAGATGCAATTGATGACATGTGGGACTCTGACTGGATAGATGAAAGAACGAGAGCTATTTTTCTGGAGTTTACATTGTACAACCCAAACGCTGACCTGTTTAGCGTAGTCATCATACTGTTTGAGTTCTCTAACAATGGAGCTGTGTTACCATACCATCAAATCTTCTCTACAAGGCTATACCATTACTCTACAGACTTTGCTAATTTTGTCCTAGCTTGTGAATGTTTGTTCCTAATGTTCAATATAAGCTTTACATATATTGAATGGAAGAAATTTGGAGTGTTAGGTAGGAAGAAATACTTTGAGGACTACTGGAGCTACCTGGAGCTAATTCAGATAGGATTGTCTTACTCAGTTATTGGGTTATTTTTCCAGAGACTGGTTTCAGTGAATGGCATAATGAAAGACTTCAGGGAGAGTGATGGTAGTACATTTATTAGCTTTTATACAGCTGTGTCATGGGATTTTATTCTTGGGTATGTGATGGCTTTTCTTGTGGCACTGGTCACTCTGAAAGCAATAAAACTGCTCAAGTTTAACAAAAAAAACTTTTTACATGGGGGCTGTTATTATTTTTGGGCCAAATTTGGGGGGGAAGCCCGGGAAATAGCTAGTTTTTTTTTGGCCCCCTGGGGCATTTTTTATTGTGAACGGGGTTAAAAAATTTTTGGTCTTTTTGGGCAAACTTTTGGTTTTTGGAACAAGGGGGGGAACAAAGGGGGAACATGATAAAAGGGCCCGGGGGTGACGGGTTTTTTAAAAACTTTTCTTTTTAGGTGTTGTTTGATTTTCGCTGGAAAAAAGGAACAAAACAAAAATTTCTGGGACCTTTTCTTTTTTTTGTTTTTTTTCGTTTTTGTGATTCATTTTTTTTTCCTTTTTCAGAAATTTGTGGCAAAATTTTAAAAAAACTTTGAAATGTGAAAAAAAAGAATTTTTTTGAAAAAAGGGAAAAATTTGACTTTTAAATTTTTATAAAAACAAAAGCCAAAGAAAATTTTTAAAATTTTAATTTTTTATTTTAGGAAAACATTTAAAAGTTTGGGGGAAATGTAACAAAATTTCATGCATCTATATTCTGATAAAAGGGGGTTTTTCCCCAGCACTCCATTCCCCCCAAGTCAAAAAAAGCTTGCCCCATTAACCTTATTTTCATTATATCACTTCAAGGGTAAAAATCTATGAAATTATTACAAACTTTTTCCCCTTTTTTTTTTATGTCTTTTTTTGAAATATTTTCTGTGATATTTAAATTTGGTGCACATTTTTTTTTATAATGAAATAAAATGAAATGTAAACTTTTGATACACTGTACTTTTTAAAAATTTTTTAATATTTTGGCAAAAAATTTTTATTAATAAATTTCAATAAATTCCTAATTTTTTTTTGGTTTTTAAACTTTTTTGTTTTTTTTTGAATTTTTTTCCTTTTTCATTTACTGTATAAAGGTTTTTTCCAATTTTTCAAAATTTTTAAAATTTTTAAGAAGCCAAGAATTTAGAGTCTGAACACTGGCTCTGATGTGCAGTGTGTCCAGGCTCTATATGTTGCTAGTATAGGTTTTATCTTTACTTTTATACTTATATTATAGGAAAAGCTGTCGTACTCAACCTGGCTTAGGAGGGAAGATATTGGGTTAAAATTGTCTTCATACTTATACACAACAACGCTATTATGACATTATCTATCAATACAATGTCCTGTACTCTAAGAGCTAGTTTACTTTTTAAAGACAAGAAATCCCCCACCCACACTGACACATTTTGAGGTGTATAAAGTTTTTTTTGGATAAAATAATGGTTTCTTTACAGGAGCTCAAAATTGTTTATATTTAGAAAATATATGTCTTATTTGTACAAATTCTGGAATGTATTTGCATGGTCACATGACTTAAAAGTTTTGCCTTGAGATTGGAAAGATGAAGGTAGACATGTAGAATAAACATGATTTCTGTTGTTTTGTTGATTTTGCTTTAAAGGAGCTCCACATACAGAAGTTCATAGGCCTAAAAATAAAAAAAAAATCAATGTCTAACATGGATCAGCTGAGGCACTTACACCAGAAAGATATGCAAAACATAATTAAGAAATATACTCAGAAATAAATTGAAAATTGTATTTTTGTGCTATTTGATCCTAGCCTGATTTGAGTGAAAATATTGCATTACACTACAATTTTTTGTCATATTTCACAGTTAGAATAATTATACTGTAAAACAACAGAATGTGGGAATGATCTGATCAGTAACACTGTGTGATAATAATTTACTGTGTGATATAATTTACTATCTCATGTCTGTAATGATTTACATGTATTTTAGTTATTTGATTGTTATGATATTATCTGTACTATTAAAAAGGACTATTCTTGTTTTTGCAATAGCAAATATGTTGTATTCGTTCTCATTTATTTCTTATTTGTTTTCTTAACCATGTATTGGTGATTTCTAATAAAGTTATATAATGTTAATTTTACTTGTCTGTTGTATTTCAAAGGAGAAAAATGGTTTGGGTTGAGGATACTTAATTATGTGGAAGGATTTAAATATTACTAGATAAAAATGTTTATCACTGTGACACAGTGCTGTGTACATGAACATGGTCAAAGGTCACACTTTAATGTCAGTGGAAAACGCTTGTCTGGAGCAAAAAACATGCATTAAGGAATTTTCATGTAACTAAATGACACAAATGTTCACCATTGTGAGGTGGGGTGTTGCTCGTAAAATTCAGGTCCCTTTGGCAAAGTCAAGGTCACACATAAGTTCAAAGGTCAGATACAAATATGTAAATGTGAGTATGGAAACCCTAGTCTTGACTTAAAGGAATATTCAATCCTAAAAATGTTACCAGCATTATACAAACAACGTTAATATCCAGACTTCCTGAAGCACTATTATTTATCTTCGCCTTTCATGGGTGGTCTTTAGTATTATTGTGAATTTACTTTATTTCAAGTGCATGGAATTTTGTGGTTTTTGTCCCCCCAAAGAATGTGCGTTCTTTAATTGGTGGACTGTTTATTTTTCCAAAATGTAGATCTAAATAATGTGAACAGTTAAGCAGTTAATAAATGAAATTTCGCTTGATCTATACATTTCCACGAAAATTAATGCCCCACGATTAATAATGATTTTGCAGTTCTTGATATAGATGTTTATCACCATGAGCACAAGAAGCAGGAACATCTTTGCAGATTATTCAATGTAACTATAGTAAGTATCAAACAGGACTGGTGTATTATTCATATTGTAACTTTTATAAAGGTAAACTAAGCCATGTTGTATGCCAAATATCTTATGTTCCATGGGAGTTTTCGATAATAGGATTCAAATGTTTTATTCCTGTGTAAAATAAGTAACCCCTACCCTAGAGTAAGGCACCCAGCTCTAGACTAGGAAGGCCAAATTGACTAGTCTACAGTTGAAAAGGTTGACATTTACCAAAGGATAAAAAGGGTTTTGATACGCCAAAATTAAATTTGGGTATCCTCTTGAAAAATTTAAACAAAAAAGCATACCGTGACCAAAAAATTTTGTCCTTCTTTCCGTTGCCACGGAAAGCGCAATGGGGCCGAACTCCCCTTTTAAACAAAACCCCAGTTTGCTAATTTTCGTTTCCCCTCAAAATTTTGGGCCCGGTGCGAATTTTTCCTTTCCTTACTAATGTTGGGCTATATTTTTTTACAAAAGGTTTTGTGACGAAAAACAAAACAATGTTTTAATGACTTGATTTGTGTGAAATAAAGTAAATACAGTAAAATGTAATTACAGGGGGAAAAAGTGAGTTGGATGCCGCCCGATTGAATTGAACAGGTGACAGGCGGGAACTTTGAAGCGATGGTAAAATTGATGTTTGTTTACCAAGCAAATTTCATATGACCACTGATGAACATGTAAATTTTAAATATAATAATGACCACCGTGATTTCAGTTCGGTGCATAGAAAAACCGGAAAGCACCGGATAGCACCGAAATACCGGAAAGCACTCAAATTTCTCATAAAAACATATGAAAACGTTAATTAATCGGTTTGAAAGTGTTACCAATCGATTTATTAGATTAAAATCTTTCAGAAAAATCATTTTCTAAAATATATATTGATAATTATTAACGAATATTTCGGAAAATAGATATATAGAGTGCTTTCCAGATGTTGTAGCTTTATCAAACATTGGGCGACCATAACAATCAGATGGGAAACCTCTCAAAAAAAAAGCAATAATTTTATGTGGATAACGTGTATTAGAGATATACTCCGTCAAATGCGGCATGAACATATTGTAGGGGACAACACATCTTTTTTCCAAATCAAAAGTGGTTGACCGCAACAGTTAAACAAAAGCTTAATAGACCTGTTTCTTAACAGCTGGTATTCAAACTTAGAAACGTCTGGAAAGTGTAAAAATTACAAGTTATTTAAACACAAATTCGAATTTGAAAAAGTATATCAACAAATACACATCCTAATTTACTTAGATATCTGATTAAATTTAGAACAAGAAACCCACTAAGATTACCAGTAGAAACTGGATCTTGGCATGGGATAGAACTTAATATGCAGAAGAAATGTACATTATGTAATTCCTCAGTTTTTGAAGATGAATTTCAATTACCTTCTAGAAATGTAAAAATATTTGACCGTCAAAGAAAAAAAATACTTTAGGACCCCAAATTATTACATTAGACGAAACCTTTTATTCTTTTGAAATAAACTTATGAATAAAACAACCAAATAGTAATTTTGAAATATAAAAAAATATGTAATGTTTTATTTGGGAATAGTTGAAAAAAATTGTATATAATTTGAAAAATTAAATGCATATAACAAGTGTAAAAATTCATTGCATCCATGCTTTGTATTTAAAAGTACCCCAAAGGTATCTCCCTTTACATGTTTATATATGCCCTTATTATTTTTTGTATGCATTCTATTGAGCCCTCGAAACTGTTTTAAATATTTATTTACCTCATGTTGTCCAATGTCTTGACCTGAAGTAAATAAAGATATTTGTATTGTAAATTTTGTAAAGTAATATGTACTTTAGCATTACCGAAAGCAATCAATACAACTTTTTGTAACAACTTTGGGAAAATCGCGTAATGAAACATAAAATATTTATAAAAACGTCATGATATATTAGATCTTTCAACTACTAAATAGATTGGTAAACTTTCAAACCAATAAATAAAGTTTTCAATGTATAACTTTGATAAACAATATGCTATCCCGGTAATGTACATGTATCTTTAACAGGACCGGAAAGCACTCGATATATCAGTTTTCCTAAATACTCGTAATAATTATCATTATATATTTATAAAAACATGTTGTCTGAAAGATTTTGATCTAATAAATCGATTGGTAACACTTTTCAAACCATAATAAATAAAAGTTTTCATGTATTTACTTTGATATTCAATATTGCTATCCGGTAATGTACATGTACCTTAGCAGGACCGGAAAGCACACGATATATACTATTTTCCTAAAATAATCGTAAAAATTATCAATATATTTTTTATAAAAATGACTTTGTCTGTAAGATTTTGATCTAATAAATCGATTGGTAACACTTTCAAAACCAATAAAATAAAGTTTTCAATGTATAACTTTGATAAACAATATTGCTATGGCGGTAATGTACATGTATCTTAACAGGACCGGAAAGCACTCTATATATCTATTTTCCCGAAAAATAATTCGTAATAATTATCAATATATATTTTAGAAAATGATTTTTTTCTGAAAGATTTTTAATCTAATAAATCGATTGGTAACACTTTCAAACCGATTAATTAACGTTTTCATATGTTTTTATGAGAAATTTGAGTGCTTTCCGGTTTTTCGGTGCTATCCGGTGCTTTCCGGTTTTTCTATGCACCCATTTCAGTTTATTGGATTTAACACATTTTTTTGCGGGAATATGGAATTGTCATTCAGTATTTTTTAACAGATCAACAAGGAATTTTAATTGAAAATTTACAGGTGTGTTTTGGAATGTACATGCATGAATAATAGATAACAAAGATGTCAAGATTGTCAAGATTTTTACCTAAGTTTCTTAGAGGAGATAAATCTGCTGCACAGAAAAGTGGAGACAAAAGTCAGTGTAAAATCATTTTCCTTGATGAAACAGAGTACTTTATTCCATATAAGGTAAATATATACCTCACACAATTTATACAGTAATATAAGTTTTGTAGATTTATTATTTTCATAATTCATTCCCATGAAACTATTATAAAAGAGGTAGAACTTGATGAATTTTAGCACTATGATTATTTATATTACACATATAATTAAAATCACCATGTCAACTAATTTAAGATTAATAATAAGAAACATCTATCTCATTAATCTTGTTAAGTTTTTATGTTAACCAAGTAAAAACCAGTATAATGCATCAATTGTGCTAATACATGTACTTACAATATAAGGAACTTGGGAATGGAACTGCAGCTTGCGGAGCATTTTTCAGATCCTGTACCTGCGTTAAGTTTTGTTTGTCTGACCTTTGAATAATTATTTTCAAAATTATTATCCTATTAAGTGGACTTAAAAATAATGAACTCTGTTTTTAATAGTGTTTATTCAATTCTGCTATTTTAGAAATTGATCATAATTAACAGTATTATATTGTATAATGTTCGGGTGTACTGCTACATGTGAATAGAAACAGAGAAATTTTTCTTTTTACATTGTGAAATGGTTAAAATACTATTTGTCTTTGTTTTAATTGTAATAGCTAAAAAGATAGTTGTAAAGATTAGCATGCCGCCTTTGGTCGGAATAGTCCAAAAGTATTGTCAAACAGATAGATTGATCTTTCCAAATTTGATTGAGATAAATCATTATTTATTGCTACAAATTATTTTATAAAAAATGAAAAAACCCAAAAATCCTTGTACTGATATAATTTCTCTGACAGAGCTATATCCGTTTACTATATGATTACAAAAGGGCTTTTCTAATCACTTTGGTCCTGGCAGCATAGTGTTTGGTTATTATAACATCTTGCAAGCAGCTTCATTTCTCATTAACTTCTCCTTGAAATACCTTCCTGAGGAAGAAATGTGGAAAACTCAGTCACTTAAATACAAAATTATTATTGTCTGTCTTAACCCATTACGTTATATAGACGCCTTTTAACGCCTTTTTCATCCCCCCCCTTTTTGCTGTCTAGAATGGTGAAAAATGCCTTATTTAGGCCCCGAACACTTGTTTTAGTTTGAGAAATGTTGTTAAAAAAAGTGACCACTTTTTCGGCGCGGCCACCCAACCAAAGGATACATCAGGGGGTTGCCAGAAGGGGGATGTGCCCCCTTCTGTTTGGGGGGTTTGAAAGGGGGCGGACTCCCCCTCATCGCCAAGAAAAATTTTGGACTTGTGAGAGGCTGTAAATGACCCCAGATTGATGATAAGGTAACGTGTAACCAACGCTGAAAAGCATTTGACTCTATCTCAATCCATTGAAAAGTTGCAGCACTTTAAAATCAATTTTGATGGAAAAAATCAACGCAAAATAGTGATTTTTGGCAATTTTGAGATGTCCCCTCGTTGCCATGGTAACAGAAAATTTAAGCCTGAGCATGTTGTTGCAAGGGCAGTGGTCCAGTCAACATTTGTGCCAAGTTTGATTAGTGTTGAAGCAGTTTTTATAGTATTATAGCAATTTGAACTTGTAACGGGAGACTTTTCAATGAAAACAGCCATTTTTCACAAAATGCTCATGAAGTAATGGGTTAACTTCCATGTAGTCACACTCCTGCTAGGGACCAAGACTTAATTGAAATTTATGATTTTTTTTTATAATACCAATTTTATATATCATTTAATCATGCATTAATAATTTAATAGAACCATTTTATATAACTACTACTATTTAGAGTATTTATAATTTATCACAGTATCATACTTTCAAATTTCAAAACTTTATTATTCTACTTTTATAATATATTAAGTAGAACATCAAAATGTTGATCTATCAAAATTGATGGTTTATAAATATGGCCATAACTATTTGACCCTATACTAAGTCCATAACAGATTTAAGATATTGTCATAATATATAGAAGTGGTTATGAATCAGGGGGCATATACATGTATTGATTTTGTTTACTTATGTATGAAGGATGATGTATTGGAATGCTAATATTGATCAAGCTTTTATTTTACATATTGCTTTTATTGATTTCTCTACTTTAACTTTTGCTTACTAGTCAAAAATTTATAATAGAAGTCAATCTGAGTGACCATTTATAGCCTTGAAGATCAATTTAAGCAATATAAATAATATTGGCTACAATTGTAAAAAAAAACACCACTGAATATTTTTTCACAAAATTAACATTATGGGCAATCTGTTTATATGTTCAATGACAGAAATGACATCTTTGAGAAGCATTTATTTGAAAATTGAAATAATTTTAGATTTGAAAAAAATAATTTGAAAATAAGGAAAAGTGGATTTACATTTACAATGATTATGTATAGTTACACCATGGTAATTCATTTTATAACATAATAATGTAAATGCAAACTTTCACGCTATCTGAGGCTATTTTGAAATTTTCTACAAAGTTTGGAAAAGTATACATAAACACGGAAGCTCAGGTTTTGAGCTTGCCAGTCCATGGTCTGTATGACTAGCATAAAAGGCCTATGAGTCAAAATACACATTACTTACTTAAAAAGACCTATGAGTCAAAATAGTTAATACACATTACTTACTTAAAAAAGACATAGATGAGTCAAAATAGACATTACTTACTTAAAAAAGACCTATGAGTCAAAATACACATTACTTACTTATAAAAGACCTATGAATAGAAATATACTTTACTAATAAAAGACTTATGAGTCAAAATACACATTACTTACTTATGAAAGACCTATGAATAGAAATATACTTTACTAATAAAAGACCTATGAGTCAAAATACACATTACTTACTTATAAAAGACCTATGAATAGAAATATACTTTACTAATAAAAGACCTATGAGTCAAAATATACTTTACTAACTTATAAAAGACAATGATTCAGAATTCAAGTGTCCCTTGTTTAGGTTTTCTATAATGTCATCATTCTATTTATTTAAATAATTTACGATCGGTCTTGAAAATAATTTACAACTGGCTTTTGAAAATTGAAAATTTATAACCTTTGGTTCAACACACACACAAAAAATTTATATTGCTTGAATACAGAATATAAACATACTTGTAAATTGCCATTAATTTGGAACTGAAAGCAAATGAATTAGAGCCCTTTCAATTACTAGTTTAATGGTTTACAAACTTTGATTTGGGACAGCTATAGACACTTTAACGAGAAAATAATTGATTCAAATGTGGTAAATAGAGGAGCAATTTGACAAGGCCTTTTTTATTCTGTTTTTTTCCCCTAACCATTTCATGTCCTGTTGAAGATTACTGATAAATAATCAGTGTATAAATAAATAATTAGATATCTATGTGTAATTTTAAGTATTTTTGTACAATATACTTACATACCTTTGGAGAGACTTAATGTAACACTAAAGGTGATTAAGTTACTAAAAAATTGATAACATAGATTAAGGATATTGATATAATCTGTACATATTTTACTTTGATCTAAACAATCTTTTTATATTTCTATGTTGATACACTATGTCTCAAAGTGGAATCTTTTTTACCACATTTCTCCATCCATTTACCAGTCTTGGAAATGAGACTCATTGTTGTTGGTCTTCTTTTAGAGAGTACAGAAGCTAATGGTAGGAAAAGGGATCTTGTGTGTTTGGAATTGAAAAGTAATAATGAAATAATGATTATTGTGTCGCCTCTACAGAGTAGTGGCCACATATAGGGATCACTTTTCCGTCGTCTGTCTGTCCGTCTGTCTGTCTGTCTGTCCGCTCGTCCGTCCGTCCGTCACAAAACTTGTCCGGACTACTGCTCATAAACTACTGGTGCAATTTCATCCAAACTTTACAGGAATGATCAGTACCAAGTCTAGTTGTGCATATTGTCAGCATTTTCCGGTTCAATGATTTTTGTCAGAGTTATGGCCCTTTAATAATTTTTAATTTTAAAAATTGTCCAGACTACTTCTCTTATACCACTAATGCAATTTCAATGAAACTTTACAGGATTGATCTGTAGCTCAAGTCCTTGCGCATATTGCACGGGTTTTCCGGTTGAATGATTTTTGGCCGAGTTATGGCCCTTTGACAAAAAGGTGTTTTTTTCTGTGTGTTGCCAGATACACAAAAGCTTGTCCGGACTACTCCTCATAAACTACTGGTGCAATTTCATCCAAACTTTACAGGAATGATCAGTACCAAGTCTAGTTGTGCATAGGATTGATCTGTAGCTCAAGTCCTTGCGCATATTGCAAGGGTTTTCCGGTTGAATGATTTTTGGCTGAGTTATGGCCCTTTGATAAAAAGGTGTTTTTTTCTTTGTGTTGCCAGATACGCAAAAGCTTGTCCGGACTACTCCTCATAAACTAGTCTACTGGTGCAATTTTATCCAAACTTTACAGGAATGATCAGTACCAAGTCTAGTTGTGCACTGTCCGTCTGTCTGTCACAAAAGTTGTCCCAACATGAATTTGGCCATCATGAGGCGACACATGTGATTACTGATCGCTCTTGTTCTTTAAGACAGATTCTTTTCCTAATCAACCTGCTGTTACAGTCATAGTTTAATGCCATTTGATAGGTTAAGAAGATACTTATAGTGACATATTAATTGTTTTCCTATGTTTTAGAAAAGTTAATTTTTTTGTGGCATTACCGGTATGTTGAAACCATTCGGTTAGCTCAATTGGTAGAGCATTTGATTGTGATTCTGGCAACCCTTGTCCGATTCCTGAATAGTGTAGGTCCTGGTCTTTTTTGTTGTCATGAAAACCTTTCCACCGTCATTTGCATTGCATGTACCTCTGCTGTGGCATGTACAGAAGTAATACTATTTCTTTGCGAAAATAAAGGCACTAATACTAGTAAACTGCTTGACACGATGTTCAGGACTTTGCTCTGGTGAATTCAAAGTGGCTTTCGGCCATGATCCGGAGGGTAAACTACTAAAACCACCAACCATATATTATGTTGAGAACAAACAAGAGATCTTATGTTAGAATATGTCACTTTGTGTACAATGTAGTTTATTGATCATTGTAACATAACTCAAATGCTTTTTTAGGATAAAGAAAGACTACTAAAGTTGAATTAAATTCTTTATTAATTTAAAATACAATATTGTTTAGTTTGATTTTTTCAACACATGCCGTACTTTGTATATTGAAAATAGTTCAAGAGAATAGAATTAATACCAAACCTCTTTGCCTTTTATGTTATTTATTTATAATTTTGTAAATCATAAAAAGAATGTTGTGACAAATTGTTGACAGATAAATACTTTAGTATATTAAGATAGTGATCCTATATACTGACAGTCCCCTTCTATATCCATTGTTAAGCCCAGTAGCTATATGTCTTTGTGTGATTGGGTTATAAATACTATACCTATACAAGATGAATTGCATACCACTATATCAATGCTTATCAACAAAGTTTAATGCTGATAAATTAGTAAACCGACATGATTTATGTACCGAAGAAATTTTTACATATATTTTTTTTGCTTGTGTGGGATTTTCCTTTTAAAGTGTAATGTGCTATATCTCTGTTGCCCGCAGTTTACAAAATTTTTGTTTGATTTTTTGCTTGAATGTTAGAAAAGTAGGTAGAGCTGTTGAACAGTCACCCTAGTGTTGGCATCACACTTTGGTGCTACAATTTTGTAGTTAGTATCTGTCAGTACATACATTCACTTTCTCTAAGATCTGTCAATACTCAATAGTCTAGAATACAGCCTTATTCACATGCTTACATATTAAATATAATAATGAAGAAATTTTCAGAATTGTTTAATTTTTAAGAATTTTTTTTTAACTTTAAAGGAACAAACTTGAAACTTGTCACAATTTTTAGAGAACTAATGCCTCTGTTTTCTTAGAGGACATATCAAATGTACAAAGGATTGTATTATTTTGCCTTTTTGATGAGAATTTGAAGGCTGTAAGGTTTTGACTGTGTCAGGTAAAGTAAGCTATGACTTCTCACCAACTGTCACCTACAGGTCACGTGTAGAGGTCAGGTTTTACTTTGATGACACTTAAGGGCCTATCATGTTAACAAAAAACTTGATCGTCCTATTGTTGCTCTCATAGCATTTGACAGTGCAGTCTTCGCATAACATAATTTGATTTGTTTTTAAAATTATTATCTTTTATAGAGACAAAAGAAAATGAACTGAGAGAACTTAACATTGTGTCTCTGATATAAGTTTTAACACTAGATACTTAAAAATTTATGATTTTATCCATTCTTTAAGGCTTATTTAATTTTACATTTAAGCTAATCAGAAAGTATTGTCATCATGTTTTCGATTTAGTTTTTGTAAGGAAATGAATAAAAAAAAGTGAAAATAATAATTAAGTCTTTCCGTTGAACATTGCAAACTATCAAATGATATTAAACTAATTTTGTCCAAATACATTTTAAATGATAATTAGAAATGTTCCAGATTTCAAAGGTTCCAGATTTCAAAGGTTTCAGGTTTCAACCAATGTTCTTTTTATTTGCCAAATAGGCAACCCCTCCCACCAAACAAATATGTCCCTCTGTCTTCCATCCCTGTCCCTCTTACTTCCATCCCTGTACCTCTGTCTTCCATCCCTGTCCCTCTGTCTTCCATCCCTGTCCCTCTGTCTTCCATTCCTGTCCCTCTGTGTTCCATCCCTGTCCCTCTTGTCATCCTCCACTATCTCTGTCATCACCACTTTGTATAGTGCCATAGCTTTTGTGTAGACTGTTTGACATTCATTCCTCTATGTTTCCTATTAGTTGTTATTAAATTAATAATGTTATACTTTATTGTTTGTTTACAGGTATTACGACATCAAAGAACAATAATGTTGTCATATATGACCACTTATTGTCAGTGTCACATTGCTCAAACTTTACTGACAGTGAAAACCTCCTTGCTAATTTATGTCATACAGGCCTTGACTTAATTAAAGATGTTTCTATTTAAGCTTCTGACAGTACTCCTAGACCTTTGATATTTTTTAAAGAATAAAAAGATTCAGAAATCAATTAAATTCTTTCCTTTCCTTCTGACAGTTCTCCAAGAGCTTTGATATTTTTTAAAGAATAATAACATTTCAGAAATCAATCTTAAATTTCCTTTTTCTGACCTTTCTTGGTTGCTTTATATATTTTTGAACATAATAATATTATACAAAACAGTTACTATTACATATAAGATTTATAAGTAAGTAAGTATTGAGGCTACACAATTTATTTGCAAATCTTCCATTGACTTGGGCCTTTAAGAAACATTTGAGAAAGTATTATAAAATTTGCACCTTGTGTATGATAAAGTAGCTTTAAAGTGTCACTGTGTGTATCCAATTTTGTTAAGTTTAATGTTAGTTTATCTATTTAATCAAAGTGGGCAGTTTTGAATGAGGTGTTAACAGCATGATGTGGATAGGAGTTTATCGATTATAAAATGATCAAATATTTACCAATTTACCAAACAGTAACAGATTTTCAGTGTATATATTGACGACATTATTATTACTGTTTATTACTGTATACAAAGTCTATTCATTGAAGGAGCACCTGCTCTATGCCCCTATAATTTTCCCACCAAGATTTTTAATATAGATTAAAGTAGATGATTTTAATGCTTTTTCTTTATAAAATTTCATTATTTTATTTTTACTTGTATACTTACTATATCTATATGTCAGTTTCAATAGTAAGCGATTTAATATCGAATTACTAATTGAACCCTTTACATTATCTTAAATGGACTTTTCCATCTTTCAATCTGGACAAAACCTTTCACCATTTTGGGTGAAAATGAAACATACTAAGCACGAGTATGGCGAGCTTTGTTTTAAGAAAATAATCAACATTTTTCCATGTATGTTAATTATTGCTTTGTTGGGGTCAATATCATCATGTTTACTATGTACAATGTACAGAATCACTTCATTTGGTTTATACAGATTTCATTTTAGTTTGATTGTTTAGGAAGCTATAAGATAATATCCGTTCCTGGAACCAACCAGTACTGCGCAATAAGTGTAAAATTTCTTGCTAAAGGAAACAACAACTTGCCCCATGCAGGTTGAGGTCATTAGATTACTGGTGACTGGTCCGACATGCTAACCACTTGGCCATGCTGCCACATAAAATCGATCAAATCACATTATATGATTATAAGTAATTTTACTTCAAATTAAGAAATTTTTAAAGTTTTATAAATTTGTATTACAAATTTTTTCAGGTTCAGCTGCAAACAAATGTTTATATACTACCATATAACATAAAAATCTGTATTATGAAATTGAATGGCCATATATAGAAGGTTGTTTGCAGTATATTACCTCCACATTTAAAATTTTTGAAAGCTTACATCTTGTTATAATACGCCATATCATCTGTTAAAAAAAATAAAGATAAAAGCCAATGGTTAAAAAAACTTTAATGTTTATGACATGTAGAAAGGGGTACTTATCCGATACAGTTAATCTTTTTAAACACTTAACATATTTTTCCTTTTTGAAAATGTTTACCTAGTTCAAACATATATTTGATTTCCAATTTTAATTTCAGGGCGGATTCAAAGGCCAGTTTGCCCTTGATAAAACATTTGAGCAGCTCAATTTGTTTGAGAAAGATTATTTTGGGTTGCGATACATTGATACTTCAGGGCAAACAGTAAGTTATGTGGAATTCTAGTTATGATTATACATAATTATATGGCTGACCTTAAAGAAAATTAATTGTAAAGCATATATTATGAAATGCTGTTGACTTTATTTAAGAACCAAGTATTCAAGCCCTATACATGTGTGAGGGTCCATCTGTCTGTTGAGGCACAGTATGCTGCTTTTGCTGTCGGGTATGGACCCTGGACATTTTGCTATGTTGCTAAATTAAACTATTACTGTACCTTATATGATTTCTTTTTGAACTGTGATCTGTGGAAGACAAAGATTCAAACTTTTGTGTGTGTATATGAGTTAATTTATACTTGCCACTGGTTGCCCAATTTGGCGAGTCCGGACCAGGAGAGTATTAGTCATTTTAGATTTTTGGAGGATAGTGCAATAACAGATACAGAAAGATGCCCCAATCCAGAAGCTTTTTCTGGTTCTTTAACGTGCCAAGTGTTTAAGCACTTGTACATGGGAACTCAATTTAAATTCTCATCTGAAAGACTGATTAGTAATTTTAATTGGCCAGCCCAGGAATCAAACCCACAATGTTGAGATTAAAAGTCTTGTGCTCTAACCGATTGAGCTATGCAGGCTGGCTAAAAATATATAAACATTGAATTGGTCTATATGAGAAGGCAGTGTTTGATTCTTATAAAATTCATTGATCCCTAGCACTTTGAGATCAAGGTATTTTGTTGAGTATTTGCTGCCCTAGAATTGTGAAAAAATAAAAATGTCTCTTTAATTGATTCTTACATGTTCTTACCTTAATTGATGTGATATTAATTACTATGAATCTTTTTTCAGCATTGGCTGGATTGCAATAAGACATTGTCAGCTCAATTAAAAGGTATGTCTGTTAATTAAAATTAATTTGGTATACATGTACAGTGAAACCTATCTGTACAAGCCATTTTTTGTTAATAAAAATTGCCTTTGATATTAGATGTTGGTTATATAAAATCATTGTTGACTGGCAATCACAACTTGCCCCTCACCCTCACAGCTATGTGGGTTCAAATCCTGCAGGGTCTTTGAATTTTTCCATGTCATGAAGCTACCTAGCTAGCTGGTTGTTCTACTCAGGTGCATGAAATAATGTAGGGAACCTATGGTCTTCCTCCCATTCAGTAATACATTGTATTGTCATAATTTATAACCTTTACTGTGAAAGTTTACTCTAAAAATAAATAAATAAACCGAAAAAAACTGGCCATAGTATGTTTAATTTTGATTTTTTTATAATTATGGTAAAATGGTGAAAAAGAAATGGTGTAAACAATAAGATTTTGTTCTAACTTCTATGATGGTTATCTTTAGCTCACATTTGACTGTTTCCTTCCTTTTTAAAAACTGATTTATAGGAAAACTTTCCTTTTATCACCTTGTGAAAAAGTACAACAATTTAATATACATTATATTAGCATTTTATCTTGAAAATCACTGTAGTGTAAACATGTACTGAACATAGATTTCAAGATATGTAAAGGTCAGTTGAGGCAGGTGTTATTGAATAAAAAAGGGGAAAAAGTCCATTTCTGAAACACCTGTATGATAATCTTGTATATCTATGCTTTTTTCATTAAAATCTGATTGGATTTTGATAAATAAGAAAATGTCTTTAAGCATCAAATTTGATTTTAATCAAATAGAGCAGGACATTTAAATAAAGTACAGGAGATATCACTTGAAAGGAGATCGTGTCACACATAAATGCACACTGTCACTTCTTGCTTTGTGCTTTCAAATCAGTTTGATTGAAGAATAAGTAAGGAAGGTTGTGCATTTTTTTTTCTCAAATGAAATGTTGACATAGCGCTGTTTTATTTAGATAAGAATGTAATGTATTCCTACATTCATCTAATGCTGGTTTATTTTGAGTTTATTGTCAAACTATTAAAAATAAAGTCCACTTCACATTACACTTATTTGAACTAAAGTTTATTTTCAAAATACAAGTTCTACAAATATTCTTTTTTGCTCCTCATTGATTATTATATTGCCTGTTTGAAGGATAGGGATAGTTTTGTTTGTAACCTTTTACCTCTGATCCGCTTTCACACCAGCATCTACTATGATTGAGTTGTTTTTGTACCAAACCCATTTTTTCTATTTTGAAACTTGGTGTACTTGTGTATGAGCATCATTTTAAAGGAATCATAGGTATGTCATGACATGTGACACAATCATGCCCTTTCTCTTGATTTTGAATTTTTTGATGACCTACTTTTGTTCCACCGTCAATCACATAACATTGCTGAGAATGCTGTCCTGACATTGTTGAGAATGCTGTCCTAACCTTGTTGAGAATGCTGTCCTAACATTGTTGAGAATGCTATCCTAACATTGTTGAGAATGCTGTCCTAACATTGTTGAGAATGCTGTCCTAACATAGTTGAGAATGCTGTCCAAACCTTGTTGAAATTTGTTCCTGACATTGTTGAGAATGCCTGTCCTAACCTTGTTTGAGAAATGCTTAATCCAAATATTGTTGAGAATGCGTCCTGACATTGTTGAGAATGCTGTCCTAAACATTGTTGATAATGCTGTCCCTGACATTGTTGAGAATGCCTGTCCTAACATTGTTGAGAATGCGGGTCCTAACATTGTTGAGAATGCTGTCCTAAACATTGTTGTAAGAATGCTATCCTTGACATTTAAGTTTTTTTTTGCATGAATTGCCGGTCTTACTACAGTAGCTTGTAATATGTGAAAGCGGATACGCCCCATCTTCGTGTGATTATTACATTCATATATATGTATCCTACATTTTTTAGTCTCCATATTAAATATGTTGTACATAAATTGGTGTGAAGTGTTTTGTATGTCACATGTTAAACATTATCTGTATACACAGGTTTTGTTTCATGTTCATGTAAGAAACTGTTTTTGTGTTATTCATTCAATGATATGTATGTTAAAGGGACTCCGCTATGTTTTTTTACATGATGAGACTGGAAATAATTAATGATATTAATACTCCATTTGATGTAGGTCAAGACCAATAACTTTTAATTAATTTTAGATTGTCACTCACTCAGTTTCTGAAAAAACGACTTAAAATAGAAAAGAAAAATAGAAATGCTTATCACTCAAATTTGTTTTAGAATAGCATACATGTACAATACGATTTTCAATTATTTCCGAGTATTTATCTTAATTATCTTTAGCATATCTTTCTGGAAATTAGAATATTATGGTTTTAGTTTGTTTATATTAGACCTTTGTGGAGTTCCGTTAATACATGATACATTTTAAATTTTTGATTTACAGGGTGTTCAATACCTTACACATTTTACTTTGGTGTGAAATTCTACCCTGCTGATCCATGCAAGTTAAAAAGAAGAAATACAAGGTAATGGTTAATCAGTTAATGTTTTCATGTCTATGATTAATACTAATTTTTATTTATTTATGTCATCGCCTCCACTGAAAATTCTGGCAGACTTTTCAACAAAAATACATATATATTTTAATGTGTAAATTATCAATTTATATTTTCTTCCCCACTGTATAATATAATCTATTTATATTTAATTTTTGGTCTTGTTTATTATTCAGATTAGTGTTTGTTTTCTATTTTTCTTTCTACTCGTTTACAGTTTGTTTAATATATTTTATTTATAAACTTCTTTGTATGTAAATATTTATTATCTGTTTATATGTTTTGATTTTTTTATCTTTTAAGAGATATAATTATTATACATATTTTTCATAGTTTATTGGCTGTCTTTTTTCTTGTCTTTTGTTTGTTTTTTTGTTTCTTTGTTGAGAAAGCAGATTTGTTTTTTTGCTTGCCGTTTAGATGAGGTTTTGTTTTATTTGGACAGAATGCTCTTTATGGAGTTTCTCTCTATTGACACTCTAACTGGACAAGGAACTGATCGCGTCGCTTTTTATCCTTTTTTTTTTTTGGCCTTTTCTTCTCTATGTGCTTAAATCTATCCCTTTCTTTTTGACAGACAGTGAGTTTTTTTGCTTTGGATTTTGATAGTTCAAGACCATACCTTTTTTTTTTATGTTATATATGATTTCTTTATCTCGTTCCCAGTCTTTTGCTTCTACATTCTTTCATAGTTATGTATTTTGTTTGGTTTTGTTCTTGTTTTACATCTATAAATAGCATATTGTGAAAAACCCGTTTTACCTGACCCATAAAAATGATGATTTAAATGACGAGTTAAACTTAGTAATGAAATTTCATGGAACTAATCTATGAAGACAATTTAAATATACTTTAACTGCATGAAATGTATATTTTATTTAACAATATTTTGAAGTTCTAATTTAAGATATTATAGCATAAAATCGGCTATTTTTCCCTCTTTTGCCCATGTTATAACGGGGCCAAAACCATGCGTTAACATAGTCACGCGCTCTTGTTATAGGCCGGTTTTACCTATGCGCAATACATACAGGGCCCAGTAAACAAACAAAAAAATGACGATTTGGCCTGCTTGCCAGAGTCTTGTTATATTGGAATTATTAATTCCAGGCCTCAGTAGCATAACGGCGAGCAGCATTCAAGTAATTATGCGGCAATACGGCTTATAGACATCGCCGCTTATCTTGGTTGTCGCCCTTTCTTAGAAACGGACAGTTGTCAATGTAAATAAATAGAATCTGTCATTCACTTTAATCCCCCGATTAACTTACAAAAATGGAAAGCACAAAATGAATATAAGAAAACGTTGTTTTATTGACGTTTATATTGATAAATGTCCTGTATGTTTCTTTGAGAGAATAATGTTTTATGCCTGATTTTTTTTAAACTTGCGTGCTTAAAAAAAAAACGATTCTGAATTTGAATCTGATGTCACTGATCTTTTTCCTACCGCCAATCTGTAATCACTCTAGGAATTTCTGAGGCGTCTGTTTTGTCTTGGGGAGAGTAATGTTATGTTTTTCTTTACTTAATATATCCCCAAAGTTAAACTTTGTTAAATCAATTAAAATTCGAAATTTCGTTCGGTTCTCAAGTTGTTGGCCCCGGAAAAAATAAAACGCATACGTAAAACATGTAGAGTTGGATAAATACCGTTCAAGCACAAGGATTTTATGTTGTGTTTTGTATATAATATACATCATGAATCTGTTTTAAAAATTTTACGCTATAATAGCGTCAACGCACGTTTATTTCGTGTTATAAAGTCTGCAGAGTCCCTCTGAACTGTTGGAGCCCTCGCCCTACCGGGCTCGGGCACCAACCGTTCCTCGGGACTCTGCAGACGTTATAACACGGAAAAACGTGCGTTAACCCTATATTGTATGCGATTTATACACATTTTCAACAGAATACTTTTAAATCTAATAGTTTTGTAACTGTCAACACAACTGTGTCCTCGATAGTCGAGTGGGCTAAAGCGTTGTCCATCTATGTATGCTGGACTAAGTGTCAGTTCGCGCCCGAGTTGGGATCCATTTTTATGCCCCCACAGAGTGGGAGCATATAGCGTTGCACTTGTCCGTCCGAGTGTCAGTCCGTCAGTCCGTCAGTCCGTCCGTACGTCCCGAAATCTTGTGAACGCAACTCCTCTTAAACCGGATGGCAGATTTTGCTTAAACTTACAGGGATGAACAACCTTAATGTGTAGATGGTAGTAAAGGAAGGAATTTTCGCTGCGACCAAATTTAACAGAATTATGGCCCTTTGTTGATTTTTTTCACTAGATACTATGAAGAAATTTTGTGAACGCAACTCCTCTTAAACCGCATGGCAGATTTTGCTCAAACTTACAGGGATGAACAACCTTAATGTGTAGATGGTAGTAAAGGAAGGAATTTTTGCTGCGACCAAATTTAACAGAATTATGGCCCTTTGTTGATTTTTTCACTATATACTATGTAGAATTTTGTGAATGCAACTCCTCTTAAACCGCATGGCAGATTTTGCTTAAACTTACAGGGGATGAACAACCTTAAGGTGAAGATGGTAGTAAAGGAAGGAATTTTTGCTGCGACCAAACTTTACAGAATTATGGCCCTTTGTTGATTTTTTCACTATATACTATATAGAAATTTTGTGAATGCAACTCCTCTTTAACCGGATGGCAGATTTTGCTTAAACTTCCAAGGATGAACAACCTTTATGTGTAGATGGCAGTAAAGGAAGGAATTTTCGCTGCAACCAAATTTAACAGAATTATGGCCCTTTGTTGTTTTTTTCATTATATACTATGTAGAAATTTTGTGATTGCAACTCCTCTTTAACCGGATGGCAGATTTTGCTTAAACTTCCAGGGATTAACAACCTTAATGTGTAGATGGTAGTAAAGGTAGGAATTTTTGCTGCGACCAAGTTTAACAGAATTATGGCCCTTTATTGATTTTTAGTTTTCAACTTGTGGCACATGTAGTCCAAAAAATATTTGACCTAGAGTCATAAGATTGACAGAACAGTGGTGTGTGGGGGCATCCGTGTCCTATGGACACATTTCTAGTTTTATATCTACATTTTATATAAAAATCTTTTTTTTAAACTATTAGATACACATTTAAGTGGGAAACAGAGATTTCAGTCAGAATGAGAGGTTGTTAATTCAAACCCCACCGAGGATATTTTTTTTTTGAATTTTATACTTTGTTCTGTTTGGTCAAATTATGGTTTTCTTTTTATTTTCTATGAGGAATAATTCTATAATTGTATATATTTTTTAATATGACATGAGCTAAAATATGGTGGTTTGACAACTGAAATTATTCATAAATAGTGCATGTAATTAGTGAAATAATAGTAGGAATTGTTATAATTTTCGGCCTAGACAAGTCAG